TCCTCATCTAATGGATTATCCGTATTATGTCCTTATCTCAGTCCATTTTGATGTACTTCAATATGATATATTCTTGCGTTGTCTTCTCTGTGGACGAGTATATAAACGCGTGTCTGGTATCAGACCGATGCGATTGATGAGGAAGAAATAAATAAGCGTAGTTCCATCAGCGCATACATCTCTTCCATCAAAAATCGTGGCACTGATCTTAGAGAGAGAAGTGTTTTTCGAGAGTTTGTCAGCAATTTCATTTTCTGCACTCATTATTTTACGATTGACAAATATAACTCTATTTCTGTAGCTAATCCCTTTGATCAATCTGTGTTATTAGTGAAAGTTAATATTTATGCTATTTTCAATTTTTTCTAGCAAGAATTGGTAGCAAAGCGACCTGTTTTAAGGAGGATGGAAATGTTTCGAGGAACATTCATCTAATTGATTTGAAATCTTTACTTCAAGATGATAAGTGTATCTATTCTACACAAGTAGATGTTCAGTATTTTGATACTGATGATTATGAATTATTAAAAAACTGGTCATTATGTCTATGTTCTTCCAAAAATATTAAACTCTCTGATGGATTAGATCAATCTTTCAACACACTCGTTGATAATCCGATCAATGCACAAACACTGATCGCAGAAATATTTCAAAATCATTCACTCAAAAGATATGTTATTGATAGTTTAAAAAGATATCAAAGTATGATGGATATTATTGATATTTTACCGTTAAGTAAGTGTTTACTCGAGAACACTTCTCAGCAGTCGGAACAACAAGCAAAAATTCAAAACTTTCTTGATATAGTACTTACAATAACAAAATCGGTTTTATTAATAACAACAAATGAGTCAATGTCCTTCGAAAGTCAACGTTATTTTGGAAATTTTATTAAGAAAAATGATTTACCCATACCCTTTGCTTATTATATCTGGAATCAACAAAAAAATTATATCGATTATAAAATTAATTTTAATCTACTTGCTGAAACAATGTGTTCAACAAATTGTCCTTATATCTTACAGGTTGGCAGCAGGTCAACAATGGGGTTGGGCAAGACAAGCATGCTACAGTTTATCTTTACTGATAAACGCATGAAAGCATTGAATACAGATGGGAGTTCATCCCTTCGAGATGGATGTATTGATGCAGTTTTTCCATCGGATACAGTCGGTCAAAAGAATGAAACATATGTTATTTTTGATGTACACGGAACAATTAATAGTTTTAATGAAGATATCATTACTTCTATTCAAGAATTTTGTTCTCTACAAATTCTATATGTGACAAAGGAGGATCTTAACAGTAAATTTTTAAATTCAATGATGAATTACTCAAAAAACATTCAAACAAAGCCCACTGTCGTTGTTATTTTTGATCCAAACTATGATGATAAACGCTACCAAGCAGAGGAAGTAATTAATGCTTTTCAATTAGAATATCAGAGTTGGAAATATGTGAAATGGGTAACAGCACCACCGGCTATTTTATGGCAACAATATGATAGCAATAAAACAAATAAAGATTTAGCACGTTCGCAACGTCTTCTCAAGTCACTTAATGAATCAGTCAAAAATACAGATACAAAAATGCAAAAACAAATACGTTGTACATCCATATTTACCATTCAGTCTTACTATTTTACTGTTAAAACTTCAACAAATGTTAGTCCACCCCATAATTGTCGTTTTGAAATTGAAAATAAACTTGAACAATTATTTAATTCTTTAACCGATCAAACAGAAAATCTTCGTATAGCAACCCCAGTTATTTATCTCAATTCAATGATAAAACAATGTGAAAGAGAATTGTCAGAGAACTGGGATGCTCCTCAAACAGAAGTACAAACTCGAAAAGAAAATCTAATTCAGGAACGATCAAATATTAAAACCATTAACTCTTATACAAGGTTTTTCATAGACTTACTGACGAAACATTCATATATTGAACTGTTAATAACTGAAAAGTATTTAGAAAAATGGCGATCAAAGTTTCAACCGACACTCATCGGCCAATTAACAAACGCTAAAAAGGAAGCTCTGGATTTAAATACAGAAATTAAACGGTTAGAAGAATTTCTCAAATCTGAAAAAAACTTGAATTCAACAAATAAAACCGCATTCCAACAAAAATTATCTCAAACAAAATTAACATTTAAAAACCAACATAAATATCTCTCTGCAGTGAATGAAAAATTAATGAATGTTGATTTAACTATTGGACTTTTCTGTGATGAAATTATGGAGTTATATGAATTTACTCCACATCTATTTGTTTCTCCAAACCTTATAGAAGATCTTGCTAGATCATTAGTAAATCTGATGTTGAAAGGATTTGCAATTCATATCCTTCGCGGTCGTCCATTACATTGTTATAGCGGATTAATTAAGAAAAGTCTTGGCTTTGTTGGAACAACAAAAAAACCACCTTTAGTTTTAACAGTTATTGGAGAACAATCATCAGCTAAATCATCATTAATGAATACAGCATTTGGATGTAATTTTCGTGTTAGTTCTGGTCGTTGTACAATTGGAATATATATGAGTATTATTCATTGGAGGTCAGAGACGATTGTTATTTTTGATACAGAAGGTCTACTTTCTTTGGAAGAAGCTGGTTCAATATTTGATAATCAAATGGTTACAATGGCTATGCTGTCTTCTCATTTGATTTTAATTAATCATAAAGGTGAATTTAATTCAAACTTAAAAGATCTTATTGGAATGAGTTTTTATGCTAAAGTAAATATCCAAAGTCCCATTAAACCAAAATTATTCTTTGTTCTAAGAGATCAAGCAGATCTTCATTCTAAAGCAACATTCTTTCAACAACTAACACTACTGAAAACACAATTACAAAATGATATTAAAATTCTTGATTGTTCAATTGACGATGAACTTGATATTCAGAATGAAAATGTTTATTTATTACCTACTGCATTTTCGCATATTAAAAATCCAATTACTAATGCAACTCAATGTATAAGATGTGACACATTTCCAAGTGAAATCATTAAATTGCGAGACATCATATTTGATAACATTACGAAAACTACAAAACCACAAAGATTACAGCTAGAAAAGAATATTCGGAGTACTACTGTCACCACTGGACTTAACAATCCTCAAACCCTTTCAATTGATCCAGCTTACGCAGATATGATACAGTTGTATACAAAAATCTCAAGTAATTGGAGCGCAATTGATCGTTTAGGTCCTAAATTATTAGAATGTAAAACACTTTATGAATTATCGATTAGGAATCGATTACAAATGATAGCTAACGATATAATTACAAAAAGCAACGTGACTACTCATCAAGATGGTGAACAATTAATTGATCAATCTTTACTAAATTTGTCAAAAAGCAATTTTATTGATACAAATCGTGATCGTATTATTGATCAATTTAATGCCCAATTAAGTTCAATTGTTATGAAAGCCATAACTCAAGCACATATTAGTTTTGATAATAAAACAGAGGAAAGTTGTTATCCACCTGAAATAAAAGCAAAAGTTAGCAGTCATTTAGAGCCACCTATTCGCTCTGCACATTATTTATTAAAACAAATGTTTGAAGGACGTTTAAACGATTTGTTGAAAAAAGTTCGAGTTGATATGGCACAAAAACAACTATTGGATTCTGTACAGAAAGAATTCGATCAAAAGAAAATTCTTCTATTAGATGATGTCATAAATCGTCTTGAAACCAACTTCAAGTCCATTGTGGAACAACATCATAAAAATCTTCAATCAGCGTTCAAAACACCAGAAACGATTAGACAAAAAATTTTAGAGTTTTATAACCATCAACTACCGGAAATGCAGTGTAAAAAAAGTGAAAAATCAAAAAAAAATATTTTTAATTTATTGCATCAATTCAAGACTGAAACAGAATATAAACAACATCTGCAAAAATATGAAAAGCATTTATCAGAGTCTGGAAGACAACTAAGGAATCCAGCAGCCAAGCCTAGCAGTTTTTGGAAGGGTTTCAAATCATTATTTACAGGTTCCTCAGATGAATACAGCGATTCTATATGGATGAAGCTAAAGGATAATCTGGAGTGGTTCTCAAATAATAGCGAGGTTAGCAAGAATAAGAAAATATTTACAGAGATTTGGGATACTGTTATACGAAAATTTGAAGAAGATATTTTTACATTAATTAAAAGTACAAAATCGCTTTCATCTAACACAAGAAATATTCAACATCTTTTTCAATTTATTGAAAATGCAATACATTCGCAATCTATAATCAGTAACTATGATCGTTTAGAGATCCATATTCTCTGCTCAGATCTGGCTGTTATCGGTCTTAATATTCTAATTAATGAAGCAATAGCGAAAGAAAAGTCTGAATATGAATCAAATTTACAGAATTCAACAAATGAAATAAAAGAATGCAAAGATAACTTACTGAAACAATATACTGCTATGAAAGATTCATTTGAATTAGGGCAAACATTGGCTGAAACAATTGGAATACAAATTATTGATGAAATTATTAAGCTTTTAGAGCGGAGAATTATAAAAGAAATAAGAGAGGAGATTTTTCGAAGTCAGTTTATTAATCATGAGGCTATACAACAGCAAGCTTATGAACAAAGTATAAATCAAGCAAATGGTGAAAACATTCTCAAATATGTTTATGATATTAATCGTTATTTTATTGAACTAAGTTTAAGTGAAATTAAAATAGCAGCACGTACTATCACACATAAACACACATTAAGTCTTCAATCTTTAATTAGTTCAGCACTTAATGGAGCGAATACTTTTGTTCAAGAAAAAACACATGAAAACACTGAGGAGTTAAAAAATGGTATACGCCAGACACTCATTGATCTTTCTAACCTTGAATTGACAGGATCAGAAGGTGCAGGATTATACTCAATCTTTTCGTTAAATAATATTGTCTCTATGCCGATTATTGATAACAACTTATTTAAAAAGGGTTTTTCACATATTCTTATTCATCACCAAAATATTGCAGAAAAAGTGAGAGATATAACAAAAAATCTGGAGGTGGAAGCATTTCAAAGTTGCAAGGATAGTATTTTACAAAAACTTGGTTGTCAAGCACGATGTCCAGGATGTGGTGCTAAATGTAGTAAACAAGAACCTCACGATGAAGAAGACGTTGAAATTTGGCAAGATTCAAATACAAATCATCCGCAAAACTTTCATTTTGGTAAAAAACCTGATTCAATTTCTGTTAAAACTCACGAAGCAACGCATCATTTAGCAAACGCGTTCCATGGATGGGTATATCATGGACTTAGTACACCATGTCTTGAATTATGTTATCAACGTTGGACAACTATTGGTGTTTATGTACCAAAAACAAATCTACTTAATGTTGCACAGGACAGCAAAAACGATGATGAAGATAAGGGTGAAACCGTATTTCCAAAAGCTAAATATTATAATGTGAATCATTCAACCTGGTATAATGATTTAAAACAACAATCAACTGAAGGTAATGCATGTAGAGAGATAATTCCACCACCTGAACAAAGACGTGCTTGGATGGTTGTTCGTCATACACTTGTTAATCATTTTAAACATGTGATGGTAGATAACAAAGAATATGATAATAAATTATATCCGACGAATGTTGTAAGTTTACCGGCAGACTTTGAACCACAATGGAAAGATGAAGATTTTGAATAAATGAACTCCTTCTATATTATACTTTATTAGATAGAAGAGCTTTGTAATAGCAAAACATTTCTAATGCTAATCGTTTACCTCACCCTACTCTCCTTCTCTTTTAAAATGTAACCGCCCTGCTTTATTATGTAACTGCAACTATTTTCTAAAATCACTTCTTTTTTAACGCATCAGCTTATTTTCATTAATTAGATGGAAAAAAATTGTGTAATTGTATTAGTATCACATCATTATAAAGCATTAAATACGAGTTCAAAAAAAATATAAAAGTTCAAAGTGCCAATTTCATTGAGGATACCCAGGTCGAAACCACCCTACCGGACCCTGTCGGATCCCTAAACAATACGTCAACATCCGACAGTCAGATCCGATAGGATTCCGACGATGGGATTCCGTGCACATCCTTCAGTTTCCGCTTACATCCTGCGGTCGGAATATCCAGGATTCCGACACCTGGAACCTGTTGGATCCGACATAATCCGACTGTCGGAATGTGTCGGACTCAACAGTGTATTGCACCATCAAGTATTATGTGAGTTACTCTAGCCAGTTATTATTCCTGATAGATTTTCAACGATGATTCGATGATGAAAAGCCTTCTATAACTGAAATTTATCAGTATATTTGCAAACCGTAGATGTTCAACACCTGAAGAGATTACATGTAGATTTTAGTGACCTCTATTTACACTATATGTAAATGGTCAGTAGGTTATACAACGATTTACATGAACAAGGTTCATTTCTTTGACAGTATACGTTCATTTTTACTTTCGTGTTATTCCAATTTGAATCGAAAATTTTTTTTTAGTGATATTTTTTTTCTATTTTCCATTTTAGAATCGAATATCAGAATTAAAAATTTTGTTTTTTCGACTGGTCAACGATAACTAGCAGATACTGCAAAAATTCAAACTTTTTTCATGGTATGTGCTTTTTACTTGTACTAATACTAAGCAAGACGAGATAGTGCTGGTAAGTAACTCTTCATTTATCGAATATGTACTTCTTTTGAGATTCTGGTTACCTAGGTAAGAAGTTTTGAACTCTTATTTGTTTTCTGTTTAGAAAAGAATCGTCCATGTTTCAGATGTCTTTCATGCACAGCTATACCAAACCTCCTGATTTGGTCAGGAGTCTACTGGTTTTGCCGATTTTCCCTGAATAAAAATCTCCTGATTTCAGGAGCTGATTTTTGTCATTTTATCTGATTTTTATCAGTTTCTCCTGCTTTTTGCTTTTACTTAGTCGAGATTTACTGGACCCTTCTCGTTTATCGATATTCGGCGGAGAGAACGAGAAAATAATCAAAATTGACTAGGCTTTTATTAATTCTTTCTGTGTGGAATGTTTTTTGTAAATCAGCTTTTAGCCACATATTGTTTTCTGATAACAATAGCAGAAACAAGACGAAACCCGATTTAGCTGAACTAGAATTCCGAAATAAATGAACATTCATTTGCTATATACAGAGTTTTATGTTTATGTTTTACAAAATCGACTGTACTCAGAGAAATCTAATCGTTAGAGAAATATAGTCTCATCGTAAAGAAGTCACGAATTTATTAGTAATTACTTAATTACACACTTTCTGCCTTATGTGTTTGTTTTATATTAATCGAGAAGTTCTCAGGTTATTATGGCACGGTCGGTTCCGGCCGGTTAGGTTCGTTTTCCGACTATTTACTTGCCGCCGGATTCCAGCCGGAAGTTCAAACGTAGGTTCCAGTCATTTACTGACCGTTTCCTGCAAACTTCGAACCGGAAACGGTCATGAACTGCTAGGATATTTCCTGTTCAATTCCGGCCAAAATCCGACGGCAAGGAGCCTGCTGGAATCGGCGAAAACTATGCCGGAATCGAGAAGAGTTCTACCGGAACCGACTCAGATTTCAACGAATCCAGTCGCTGGAATGATCGACCTGGGTTAATATTCATTTGCTAGTAATTGTGCATAAAATAAATATAGAAATAAATTTTATGCAATGATCATTTCTTTTAGTTTTTTTTTTAATTATATGAAATTCTTTTATGATTACTTTGTGATGAAAGGGGGACACGATTGTAAACTTATAGGCGTATACTAAGCCGAAAGTTAAATATTATTCGGATTTTCATATAAAAGAGTGTTGAAAGAATAAACTATTTACTTCTTTGTCTAGTTACATTACACTGATTGAGGGTGTGGGTGAGGGTGAGGGTGAGGGTGAGGGTGAGGGTGTGGGTGTGGGTGTGGGCGTGGGCGTTGGGTAGCAGTGTAAAACTTCAATACTCGAAAACTCGAAGGTTCGAGTTTTAGATTTATAAGTTTAAAAGTTGAAAACTCGAATAGTTGAAAACTCGAAGGTTCGAGTTTTAAATTTATAAGTGTTAGAATTCGAAGGAAGTTTTAATACTCGAATCGAGTTAACGATTTCTACACTACTCATACTTTGTGCCTCGGTCGAGGGCTTTTCTTTTCCTTACATTTCGTTTTCGTTCTTTTGAGACTATCCATACACGTACATTCTCTGCATGCCTTTCTGTTTTTATTTTAATAGATGGATCGAAAATCGTGAAGTAAACTTGAGAAATAAAAGTGTACCTAATACATGTTTCGTATAAAATCAAATGATCGATAATCATGTCTATTATCTTGAAAATGAGAGTAATCGATAGATTCGATTTCCACAAGCATATAGTCGTCACATATGTTTGAAAAATAAATATTGTTTATTATTAATATTTTAGTTAATTAAAATGAATATTTTATGAATCTCGCAAACTGTATAATTTAATAAAAATAAAACCTCATTGAAAGACAAATCATTCATTTAAAAATCTTGAACACAGCCACCATTTTGTGTATCACATCGTGTACTTTTTGGACAGCAATGACGTCCATCGTCACAGCATTGAGCCTAAGAGAAAAAAAAAGTTTTTTCAAAGAAAAACTAAAAGACAATCTTACATCAGCTAAAGTACAACAAGCATATTCTCCATCTGATGAACCATATGTTTGACAACATGTTTGATCAGCTGAACAACCAAAATCAGTAAAACCACATTGGTGATAATCAATATCAATTTCTCGTAAACTTCTTAAGATCAATAAATCATTTAATTGACATGATAATTGAGTTTCATCACATTTATAATTATTTGGACGACCTTGTGTATAAAGTGGTTGAGATCCCATGGAAATACCCATATATGTTTTCTGTCGATATATTTCGTTTCTATTGATCATCATATTCGTTCTCATGATGCTTCTCTGTTTCACTGTTAATTCTTTTCTATTGTTTTTCATATCATCTCACTGTCTCTCTCACAAGAAAAAAAACGGCAAAAAACCGCCTTAAAACATCACTTTCCAGAAACATCGTTATATGAATGATCACAACGTTACCATGATTATAGACATCCTTTATGATTATCTTCTTCGTTCCTTTCAATGTGATTCATCACCTTGTTACAATGGTGGTACGTGTTATTCTTCAATTGATTCCCTTTCCTACCAATGTCAATGTCTAAAATCTTTTCATGGAGATCGATGTGAATCTCCATCCGCATCTGCAATCTTAAGAATAAATTCTACAAATGCAAATAATCTTATAAGAAAAAATGAAACATGGAATAATTCTTCAAGGTTTTGATTCCAGTAGTTTTAATCTTGTTAATCAACAATCTTATGTTGGTTATTTACCTGATTTATTTCTTTTTTCCACATCATTACATTTTATTCCTAAGTTCATCTTAATTAAATTCTTTCAAATCGAAAAATCCGACTTACATTTTTTGGTTTTAATTTTAACAACTCTCCAAACTTCTTATTTAAATACTTCAATTGAATTCTCAACCAAAACTCTTTGTCCATATTCATCTTCATTATTAACAGGAAACTTCAGTCAAAATGATTTAACCTTTCAATATCATTATCTATGTCAAAATTTCAGTGAATTGAAATGTTTTCGATATGACAATCATTTTTGTATTTGTGATCGAAAGTTAAATAATGAACGAGCTGAATGTTTTTCATATAATAATCGTTTTGAACAATGTACAAATTGTTTATCGAATGGCAAATGTTTACGTGGAAATTGGAAAATTTCAAGTGATTTTGTTTGTTTATGTCCACATTGTTTTTATGGTCGATTATGTCAATTTCAAATACAAATCTTTAGTTTTACACTTGATTCATTACTTAATAATGAATCTCAACATGTTCATTATATTCTAATTGGATTCATATTTCTTTTATTTCTTATTGGTTTATTGAATAATACATGTTGTTTTCTAACAATAAAAGAAAATCTACGACGAAAACTTTTTCTTAGTTATTTAATTTGTATTTTGACAATTATTAATCAATTTTCATTAATATTTTTATTATTTAAAATAATCTATGTTTTCTTAGGTACGAATGGAAAATTTGAAAATTTATTTAAATTGAATTTAATTTTATGTCAAAGTTCAACGTATTTATCATCGATATTTATACGATCAAATCATTGGTTAACGAGTTTAATAACAATTTTACGTGTTTTTATTGTTTTCTTTCCGCGAAAAGATTTTTCCAAGAAATTTAATTTGAAATCTATTCTAATTATATTAATATTTGTCGTTATAACACACATTCATGAAATCTTTTATTCAATTATTGTTGAAGATGTTCAATCTCAAACATATTGTTTAACAAATTATTCATAAAATTTTCTCTCGATATATAATCGAATAAATCTCATGATTCAATTGATTTTACCATTTATAATTCAAATAATTTCAATAACATTAGTTATTATAACTCGTTCATATCAACAAAGAAAAGTACGAACGAAAAATGTAACAATATTTTAAATTTTATTGAAAGAATTTCAAACACAAAAAGAAATCTATTTAACATCATTGATAATGATTATATCGGCTTTACCACATTTAATTTTATCATCGAATTTTACTTGTAATGAAATGAAACAATCATGGCAACGATATCTTCTTTTGTTTACTTATGTATTTTCTTATCTACCGCAAATTTTTAGTTTTCTTATTTTTATTTTACCATCAACTATGTATAAGAAAGAATTTCAACAAACTTATATTGGAAAAAAATCAACGAGATTAATGTCACAATTGTGGAAAACAAATAACAAAGCTTTATCGACTTAATGTGAAGGATGAAAGTAACGCTGTACATACGCGTTATTTACATATGGCGCAAATACATGATCTTTACCTCTCGTGTCCTAAATTTTAAGAATTATTTGAACATAGATGTTCGTGTATATTATTGACATTGATAAATATGTAGCGAATTCTATCGTAAATAAATATTTAGCTATAGTATGAATAGTTATATGATGGGAGATAAAATTTTTGCTTCTATCCCATTATGTGTCATAAAGAAAACAGCTGCTCTCCCATCCCACAGAATGCTTTGAAACGATCTTTTATTCCCTGGGATACTTTTTTTTTCCACCTGAATCATAGAAAATCTTCGTATACATATAAAAAGAAAGTAACTCGAAGTATTTTTTCATTAACAAATATATATATATATATATATACATAGGTCAGTCAATAAGTTCTAATAATTTCAAATATTTATTCAAAGAAGAAACCTTTTGCCAATCTTTCTACATCAAATGTTCGAAGTAGTTGCCCNATTGGAGAAATATCACCATAACTGTTAAAATCAATTTAAAAATTGATAGTGTGATTAAAGTGCCTCCAAAAATTCGCTTTGTCACCAGTTTACTTACCCAACGCTTGACATTGTAATAATTCCCCAATAAGTTGCTGTTGGAATCGAGCTGTAATCTGCATTGTTTTTTTCTTCTGCAAGATAAACTGCTGATCCGAACAGAAATGCTATGGTAGTTATACTGATAACCGCTCCTGCAAGATCAAACATCGATTCTTTCAAAGCTCTACCAAGAACACGCATGGATCTCAATTCTCGAACAATGGTTAAAAGTCTTAGTGTACGTATTGCACGTAAGAGACGAAATATGTGTACAACTGTCAGGTTTACACCGTTGCTTGTACTGGTTGCTAATAACGGCACAATACAATAATAGGGAAGAATAGCTAATATATCGACCCAAGTCATAAATGACAGAAAAAAATATTTATACGATGGAGTACTGATCAAACGAAGAAAAAATTCGATTGTAAAATATGAAACACAAATGGTTTCAATAGTAAAATATGGCATTGTAGAAAATATTCTCGGACAACCTGCCACGAATTGGTAAGTTGAAGTGCCATTAAGAATTGTTTCACTAAAACAAAGACCTAGCAAATCTGTTCTTATACTTGGCAAAGTTTCAATAGCTAATGTGATACTGGAAAGAAGAGTAATAGCCATCGAAATAATATAGATCCCACGTGCTAATATTGAAGATTCAGGATATTGCAAATGTTGCCAAATAAACCGACGCCAGCGCTCATTAGGCATTATCTTAGGTTTAATCTCACGTAAATTTTCTGATTCTACCACTTGAGCAAATGCTTTTGGACCTAATTGAAAAAATCTAATTTCTTCGAGAAATATATCTAATGGAACGTTATCAGGTCGACGAAGACGTCCATTTGATTGGTAATAATATAAAATTGCTTCAAAACATGTACGATGTCGACCGAAAAAGTATTCTTGTCGACTTGTATTCCAAAAGATTTTTCGTTTGTTTTCATCACCCAATAGTGATTCGGGAAAAGCATTGAGACTGGACAAAGAGATTTCAAATTGACAGCCACCAACATTGATTCTAACAATTGAGCTTTTCTCGGATATTCTTGAACTTAAAATGAATGAACAAAATTCTTTGAATTAGATTCACAAGAATATATCTTTTAAACTTACTCAACATCGCCATGATTTTCTGTTTTTCTAGATTGCGACATCATTATTACTTGTTCAGACACAGGAGCTAGGAGAGAGAGAGAATATGTGGATAGTTTAAACAATAGAACGTAAAAATGGTTAACTTGTTTGTTATTTTGCTTTTTTCGTTTAGGATCCTATAGTTTGCCGAATTGATGGACGACGTCACTATATTCACGTTTCAACTAAACAAAGAGAAGATAGACAAATTATGAAAAAAAATGTTAAAACGCAACTTAACTTATTCTGGACGAAATACGTGCAATATGTTTCTCAAAATTCGATCTACGACTATAGAATTTTTTCTGACATGGAAGAGAAAATACTTTTCGACGAAGTTTTATGTTACATATAATCGAAAAAGTTCTAAGTTTTAAATAGCATTGGTTCTTTCAACATATTGAAGGAAATATTAGAAATGGATTATGCTATAGTACTTCAACTTTCAAGAAACTACTGATCGGAAATTTGATCATCACGAAATCGTACTAAGGATCGTATACAAAATAGTAAGGAACTTGGATTCTATCAAAAAAGAAGATTTGAGAAATTAGAGGTCTCTTCTGTTTCTGATTCATTTTCTCTGATCCTTGAAAATAAGGCTTCTCAAGTTAATATATGAAGGAATATCATTCGACTAGCGCATGTATCGAATAAAAATAACACGATGATATTTAGCTTAAACTATGAAACAACGCTGTTTGAAGGCATATTGACGAAAGTAGTAGATTGCAGTCTAAACGAAAACAAATCATGAAAGAAAACATGTGATGATTACACTATTTTATATCGCTGTTAACTACAGTGCTTATTCAACCATATATCTATTTTCTTTTCTCATACGAGAAAAAAAAGCAAGTAATCAGATATTCTATCACATAGGCAGTAACCAGTTGGATCACTTAGAAGTCATTGCATCTAACCGATGACCATATGTTTACTCAAACGATGTCATCAACTTGACTAAAATTTGTCGGACAAACGGATCAGCCGTTCTCGAAACATAGGTCATATAAGCAAGTGGAGGTCGACTACCATCTATTATTCTGTCTATAGGGCTAAGAGTGAGAGCAAAACAGAGAAAACGATTACTGTACGTTTTATTTCTTTTTGAGAGGAGACTCCTCTCTTTGAGGAAAAAGTAACAATTAACCACGTTTTTAACACAACGTACAGTAAGCAAAGAGCATGTCATAGGTCATCGCTATGACATTTCTCCTCTTCGACAAGCATCGAAAATCAAATGATTTCATTGAACAAGAAATAAATTTTGTTAAACTAATTCAGCTGTTCAACATCAATGAATAACATCCGGATGAAAACATTAAATATGTATTACTTGGCAAATCTGCTGTTTCCACGAAAAGGTCTCAAGAAATCTACCGTTGTTGTTTTTTTCTGTGTCAATGATAGATATATTTTCAAAGAAAGCATAATAATGTTTAAAAAATGAACAAATGTTACATTTATTAATTCTACCGACGGGAAAAACGGCGGATTTTGTGTTAAGAAATCTTTAGTATATTTGAACTCGAAAACTAGCGTAAACAAAATTGTATAAGAGAAATGACCTGATGAAAGATGGCGTTTCTTTTTCATTGTTTTGCTTGTTCGTCATCAGACAGCAATATAATTTACCAATGATCAACACTATTAGTGAGTATGTGATGACTCATATGAAACATGATGCGCAAGACATAATGTTTCATTTATTCGTAGTTTTTATATGTATAAAACACAATAAAAATTATGGCAAATTCGAAAGAATCATTTCTAATTAGCAAGTTTTACCTTGCCTGTCGAAATGGTGATGTAGAATACGTAAGAAATTATCTCACAATACTATCACCAACCAAATGGAATCCTAATGAAATTGAAATACATATAAATAGTACACCATTACATGCAGCTTCATTTTATGGTCATGCAGAAATAGTTAAACTCCTTCTCCACTACGGATCTGATCGATCACAAACAAATAGTTATGGTCTTACGGCTTACGAAGAAGCTGCTAATGACGAAATTCGTCAACTTTTTAATCGTCCAAGTGATGGTGATTCGAGTGCATCTCGTTTCCAAGATGAAAATATCGCAGATTGTTTCGAATTTGTTAAACCACCTAAGGAATATGTAAGTAGTATAAAACATGGAAAAATAAAGACATCGACAGTTGAAGATTACAAAACTGAAGAAGAAAAACAACTTGAAATTGGCTTTTCAACAACATCGATAGCTCTATCACAGTCAAAGCTGGGAAGATTTCTTGCGGATAGATTTCATCCTGATGCACCAATGTCACTGAAAAATATAACAAATAGACTTCAAGATTTAATCGATCGAGAAATTACTGCTAATGAAGATCCTCAATCAACCAAAGCAAATGATTTATTGAACAAATTTTCAAATGATCCTGATGAAACAAGAGGTGTTGAATATTTAATAAGATTGTACACATTAGAAACAAAACTTTATCATGCTCTTCGACAAGATCCAATGCCATTAGCTTTACCTTTATACAAAACATTAGAAACATTGAAAGATCGATATTTTCAAGGACAAAGTTACCGAGGTGCCAAATTGGACGATGGTGATATTGCTATTTATCAAAATGCCGCTGATCATCATCAAAGTTTTTTACAAACAAAACATTTTTCTTCATCATCTGCGCAACGTTCTATTGCAGAAGAATTTTTAACTCATCATAATAAAAATCCATCGGAAAACCATCGAAATTCGGTTCTATTTATATTTAATTTTCCGATACATTGTGATCAAGCAATTGATTTAGGTAGAATATCAAATGAGCAACCTTGTTTATCGGAATTCGAAAATGAAGCTGAAATTCTTATATTACCATGGACAATATTTCATGTAGATCGTGTAGAATATCAATCAACATGTTATACAATTTATTTAACAAATGTTTTGTTACCTCATAAAGATATTTTATCGTCATTTAAATGGATATTAACACATCCCAAAGGTTCAATGGATCGTTTTCACCAACATTTTCCAAAGAAACAATCACAAACCTTAAAACAACTCCTAAAGAATATTTCTGTACCGGAAGAATATATTCTAAGAAAAAATGAATAAATGACGGTGTGAATATGCCTGTCTCGTCGTTCACTTCACTCATACCCTCAAGACGATATTTTGCTCGGATGAAAATTTACAAATGACTTTTTGGTCGCCTAATTTGTCGCATGCTTATATAGGGTTCTTTTTATTTTCGAAGTCTTTCTAGGGAACTGCATTTCTTTCGAACAATTTGCTTTTTTATGATCTGTGAAGAAACATCAGATTAGATTGTTACAAATTGTATGCTTAAAAGTGATACGGTCGAAAACATATGAGTATTTTTCTTGTGTTTCGTAATCAAAGTAGATCATGATCGATATCGAGTCTGATTTTTTAGGGAAAAAAACAAAAAGAAAGCAACGTAACTGTTCAGGTTTCGATGTTGTCTATCTGCTACACATGTTACGTCAAATTTTTCATATTAATGTAATGTTGTGTCTAGGGAAAACATCTCGAGGCTATGAGTGGGTGAACATGCTTCTACTATCACCAATTACACCCACATTCTCGAAACTAGATAAATATATTCTATGTACATCGCAATAAAAGTATGTGTTTTTTTGGTGCCTTTATTAAAATGTTGTTTTTTCGATAGATTTCGTTCTTTTAAAACGCTTGAAAAGACAAAGTCCAATGAAACATTGGTAAGTTAAGTGAATGATTGGTAGAAGAAGAAGTTTACAGATTAAAAATGTCAATGAAAATAGTTCAATCACCACACCGAGAAAGAGAACATTACGAAAAAGTATTTCATATTTTCTTGCAATTGGCTCTTGAGTATTCTGAATAAAAAACTGCGATTCTCGTAATTGGATTGAAATTGTTGTTGATAAACTAAGATATCGGAGGTACTCGTCCGTTGGTGCCAAGCGAGTTTTTGTTGTGATATCTTTTCCAGTGATCAAAGGAATCCACAGACCAGAATAATTCGTTTGTTGATTCCCTTCTAACGATTCGGTCCGATTAACTACTTTTGTTAGAGTTATATCCAATTCTGGCTTTTCATCGATTGTATGATTGACATCGGAAAATACGTTGCAAGCAAATAATGAACGTAAAACATATTTTCCATCACCGATCGTTTGATTGAATCCTTGTAAACAGATTTGAAGGATGGCTATCGGATGAATCGAGTTAATCTTGATTGTTGTTCGTGCAACGTGTGTTAAAAGTGTAATAACTAATGCTAATGTCGCATTATTGTCCTTCATTGAACAATTGAATGAAGGGAAAGAAGTAAAATAATCACCATTCTTTTGTCTAATATCGAATCTGGAATTTACACAATCAAGATTTGTATTTATCAAGTGAAATACCAATTGAAATGGTTGACCATCAAGTAAATCAAAAATGGGACGTTCATCATCAGTTTTCGGTAATGCGAGTAATTGTAATCCACTTGTAAATTTGGCATTGACAACATCTGAATCGCAAACAAACGATGAAGGACGAAAGCTTTCAATCGGATACAAATTCATGTATTCAAAACTAAACAAAGCAGCGAATATAACGAGAACAAATATACCACAAGAGACGACACCACCAATCCATAGTTGACCTTCAGTAATTAAATCAATATGTGAGAGAATTTGATGAATTCTCAATCGATAACGAAATGTTGATGGGAAATACGAACAAAGGAAAACAAGAATTGTCAAAAATAAAACTATCGAAATAACGAGAAACATCCAAAACGCTGGAGAAATAGAAAGACATTGAAAATGAAACATATTTGATAGAATTATATCATCGAATGAATCAAAGTTCGATTTCGATGGGTAACTAACTATCTGATTAACATTTTTGTATTCAATCTCATCACTTAATGCAGCTAATGGACAATTTTCCTTCTTCTCGCATTTTTCACATTGAATACTACCGGATTTCGATGTTTTTTCGCCTGTAGGACAATAAACACAGTGTTCCAATGATCGATTCGAGTTTTTATACATTCCCGGCAAGCACGCAGCAAATGTTGCAAATCGATATATCAAATCATCATCCAGTAGACCACCAAAATCAACAAATTCTTTTCCTTTCGACGATATCAATGGTATTATCAATAAATACCAATTCTGTCCCGGATATTCTGCACTTATTCCGAAATAATTTCCATTAATGTTAATCAAATTCGAAAAACTTGGTACTTGATCTTCCTTTTCATAGGTAATTCTTTGTTGTTTATTTGGAAAAACATTTTGAATACGTAAATCTTCATCTTCATAATTGAAAAAGAATATCGCTGAATTTGCGAATTGAGTGAGAGGCGCATTTGAAAAAAGAACGGCTAATTGTCGAGTATTATTTACCCAAAGAATTGAATGACTGGGAAATTTTCCAGGTTGATCTAAAAGAACCTTTTTGGTATTGATTTTGATTCGTTTTGTATTCAAATCAATATTTCCAAAGACAATTAAATTGATTTCTTGAAAGAGAATGGCCAAATCATTGTGATCATTGATTGACATTAACATTCGACCTTGAAAATCATCATATTCCAATAAATTGATTGTTTCATAATTATGAACTCGTACTTTTAAAAATGAATCGATTTCGACTAATACAAATGAAGGACATTTTTCACATCTAAATGATGTTTCTCCAAATCCAAGTAGGAAATAATTTTCACCGACAACGATAATATTTGATAAATCACGAAAGTTTTTCCAATCTGATGAATTCATCCAGGGGTATGAATTGATTTCAAACGTATGAAGATTGTACACAAGAAAACCAGTGACTGAAAAGAAATAAACTCGATTTTCATGCCGATTGTCATATATAGTCATTAGAATCTCATATGGATTTTCGATCGTTTGATTATTGAGTACAACAAATTCAAGTTCAATTGTGCCTATTTCATCGAAAATATAGTTTAATTGAACTAAACCAATTCGTTGCGTCGTATTATAATCTTCACCAAGATAAACAAATTGATCGCCTCGTATTGCAATAACATGGGTGATTGATTTTAAATTTGAATCAATCTTATTGGAAGAATGATCTTCATAAAAACTGTATCTAGCATAATGTTCATTATTATTCTCTGAGAATACCCATATTGGCTTATTGATTACAATACCAGCGATGTCAAGACTTTCACCATTGGGTTTACGTAATATTGAGAGATAACCATCGGGACTTATGGAAAAATCGGAGTGATCAGCTTTAATAAATAGATTACATTTAACCAGAACAATGAACAAGATCTCAATCTTGATCATATACATGTATTGCATTTCTTTTTCTTCTTCAATATTCAAATGGAAATCTTTTACATTGATATCGCTCGTTCTTATTAGAATTTCAAAATCATAACTTATACAAACAGGATCAGATTTCGTTTGTCTTCTTATTCACGAATGAAGTTATGTTTATCATTAACAAATATTGATGTACTTGATGAGTAAGAATGAGAGTAAAGACAAAATATCCACATTGTAGCGCGAATCATGATTATCTAATTCTTGCCGAACAAGATTGATAATTCATAAAATAAAGAAAAGAATAGAATAGATCCATGTGAAGCTAGTTCCGATAACTTTCCAATATCGTATATCCAGCTTACAGATTTATAGCAAAACAAAAGTTGGTAACTGTAAGAGAGAAAAAAAACCTATTTGGAATTTCATAACGCATAGCAAAAAACTCACATTTGACTCATCGACTAATCCAGACGCAGTCAAGGAATAGTATAAATTTCTCAATAATGTCATTCTTTATTACCAATAAAACATTCAACTATCATAGTGTTCTCAATTATTAAAGAAAATGAAAAGTCACAACATCAATTCATGTAATGTAACGCATATTAGAACACAATTAAATCTTTCTTAACACGGATGTTTCTTGAACAAAGATTCCAATATTCTGGTTAAACTCGTTTCAAGTACAATTGGAACAACGACACTTCTTTACTTTAGAGACAACGTTCTCACCTTTATCCTCAATTTTAGAAAATAAAAATAGATTGAGATATCTCTCTTTTCACCAATGTTTGAATTTTATTTTCAAACTAAAGAAAACTGTAAAAAGTTCATTCTAAATCAATTGGTCATATTGGTTTAAATTGAACATGAATAAATAATGTTGAATAAGTTAAACTATTGTGATTTGTTCTTAAATGAATATGACGATAACCTTCAAAAAGGCAAAAAGAATTACAAAGTCAAATCAAAATCGATTATTTAAACCTGTCTGCATAGTTGTTATTGGTAAACAAAAATAAGCTAAACGATGATGATCACAAACATCAAATCTCATTAAACACATTTGAGGAAAATAAATATCAAATTGAAATATTTCATTCCATTCTAAATTCCAATTCTTACAGCTGAATGTTTTCGTTTTTTGTATTTGTTGATCACATGGAATTCCATATGTAGACATAAGAATATATGGATCACAAGCATTTGTTCGACGTAGGAATTGTCCACTAATAATTGTCAAAATTAAACGTTGTGGACATTCAAAAATATCTTCCGAATATTTCAATGGTTTTGTTATATAATTTAAAGGATTAAATAAAGATTTACTAATATGAGTTAAATATTCTGGTTTTAATACATATCCACAATTTCCATTATCCATAAATTTTCCATAAGATAATGATAAAATCGGATCATCATTTTGATAATCTAATGCAACCATTTGAATACCAAAATTCCAAGGTGTAATTGGATCAGGATTAGTTGAATCTTGTTCAAGATCATCAGGATACATGAGAAGAAATGAATTCAATGTTCGTTTAATCAAATCCATTGAATTAACTTCAACAAATTGATTANAATCAAGACAGTTAATTATTCCATCACATATTTCACTCCAATCTAAACAAGATGGATATGGACCACGATCGCATTTTATATGAATGTAACAAGTTAAATTAGTTGAAGAGGAATCTAGACGAGCATAAAACCTTTGAATATATAAGTTAGAATGTCCATTTATATCAAACTGATCCAATTCATATTGGCATATTGGACCAAATCTCGGTAATGTACAATTATAATAGATCTCGTTTCCCATCGTTTCATTATTTGATATTAAATATAATTCATATCGTTCAATAGCATCAATTGGTGTTGACCAATAATATAATTGTTCACCAGTTACATTGCGCTTGGAAAGTTCAGCAAAAGTAAAATTTGAAAGAGATATTTAACGTTCGACATAAATTCTCGATGTTTCTTCGTTCATACAAAAAGATAACATCTCAAGAAAACTAGGCTCAAGTTCTAATGAAGCATCAATGCTAATACGTAAACAATTATATTGTAATAAATCAATACCATTATTATTTATTTCATCTGTATTGTATAAATTCAAATCCGCTTGAGCAGAAATACAGAATGAAAGAATCAAAAAGCTCAAATAGAGCCTGGGACGCATTTTGTTTTAATGATAAAATTATCTTTATCACTGATATTTTACTGTATTAATTTCTCTCTTTTTCTTTCGTTTGCTTTTGATAAAAAAAAGGATTTAAAGTTACTGTCGTAAAACAAATTCGTTTGTTCCTGCCATGATATTGTCACTTCTATCAATATTGAATAAATGCATTTTTTCTATGTATTTCCTCTGATACGCTTTATATTTGATCAAGTTGGAAACAAAAAGTGAAGATAAAATTATCGTTTTTCCTTACATATAATCATGGTAAAAAAATCTAGATTTCCTCGATAAAATTGTTTTTTATTCTGAAGAATATTTTCAATGTATTACGCGAGAAAGAGCAATACAACTAGAGGCGGCGCCAGAGATTTTCATCTGAGAGGGCTCAGCCCCTGGCATTCTATACGATCGCCTCCCAACTCCGAGGCTTTTCCGGAATATTCTATTTGTACTGGATTCAGCTGTGCCAAACTTTCTGATTTTTGTTTTTCTTCATAGTCGGCAATTAGTGAGACCTTCGATTGATATAAACTCGAAGAAAAAAAAGAAAATTGAATTGATGTTTGACGAATATCATAGCGATAAGAAAAAGGCTTTCGTTCTGTGATGTTTTTGAAAGTAAAAGTAAATTCTTTTGATAAAAAGAACTCACATTTACCAAGTGTTTTTTGAGATAATGTCTTCATCGGAAAACGAAATTATGGAGATAACAAACGTGCTATCATCATCAAACGATGTTTACAATTCATTCAAAACAGTAGCTCTGGATAAAGCTATTTCTTTGTCACCAAACGCTAGTTCGAATAACATTGTTACTCAAACTTCATCGCCATCAGCAACGCGATCAACTAAACATTATCATTCAAAATTTAAAACAGAATGGTTATCTAACTCTTTTTTTTCTACATTCTTACGCGAATGTAAAATTGATCAATCGAAAGCCATGTGCATTGTTTGTAACATACAGTTCTCCATCCAAAACAGTGGAATTAGAGACATAAATCGCTATATTCGGACAAAGAAGCATCAAGAACGCTTGAAATCTGATGAAGCTAATCCAAGTAAGATCAGCGCTATTGTTTTTATTGCGGAAAGCTTTCCATACGTATAAAATTCATCTTCGAGTTCTTGTAAACAATGGTAATGCTATCTACCAAAATTAAATATGGATGTGTGAATTTATTTTTGTTGCGTTAACGAATAACGCAATAATCTCTGATTGATATCTTAACTAGCAACAAAATAAACATAAAGCGCACTCCATATTGCATTTTTCTCTTTGAAATCTTAAGTATCAATATGAGTTTCGTTGTAAATTTGTTCAAAAGTCTTTACCGAGAAAAAGTACTTACATATCGAGTATCTGATTTACTTATTGTTCTATCAAATGATAAATCAAAGAGTAATCACATGTGTATCAGTATTGAAACGGACACAGATATTCGTCGATTTTGCTATTTGCCATTAGATGAACTGTTTAATATAACTATATCAACATTGTCCGGTATCTGAGCGTTGCATTTATGAACAAGCAACACTCGTCGAGGCAGACTCGCTTGACTCTCGACTGACTTTCTTAGAGACTTAATCTGAAATAACAATTGCAATTTATATCAATAAAATACGCAAAAAATGTAGAAAACAGAAAATTAACAAGTTTGTACGAGAATACTCAAACTGTCAGTGCCTTCATTAGCTACTACAAAATCCATCTTTTTGTCATTGTTAAAGTCACCAAAAGACACCAAAAAAGGATGTGACCCATAGTCAGTGCCAACAACAAGGAATTTGTCAAATGTTCCATCACCATAGCCAAGAAAGATGCCTTGATTATTGTCATCGTAAGTAGCAACGATAATATCAAGAAAAGTGTCATTATTAAAGTCAATGACAGATAATGAATATGGTCTAGAGCCCACGTTAGTAGAATATGTAGTTTGATTTGTGAAATTACCGCCTCCACGACCGAGAAAAATGCCTATAGTGTCAGTACCATAGTTAGTGACAACAATATCTACGTAACTATCACGGTTAAAATCACCAACAGCAACAGAGTATGGAGATGAATTTGGACCAGTTGAATATGTAGATTGATTCGTGAAAGAGATATCACCATGTCCGATAAAAATACCAATATCATTGGTACCAGAATTCGCGACAACAATATCTGAATGATTATCATTATTAAAATCAGCGATTGCCAAGGCCCGAGGTCGTGAATTGTTGGCAGTAGTGAGTGTCGTTTGTGGTACGAAAACTTCATTAGACTGGCCCAAAAGAATACTCACACATTTGTTACTTGGATTGGTAATAACAACATCCGGGTGACTGTCGTTATTCAAATCATGAACAGCTAATCCAGAGGAGAATCCACCACTTGAATACATTATTTGATTTTCAAAATAACCATTACCGTGACCAAGAAGAACGCTGATATTGTTGCTACCAGCATTGCCGACAACGATATCCATTTGTCGATCACTATTAAAGTCGTTCACAGCAACGGACCAAGGGCCAATGCCGACTGAATAAGGTATTCGTTCGGCAAATGAACCATTGCCAAGACCAAGGAGAATGCTGACATTGTTGCTGTAATAATTGGTAACGATAATATCCAATCGAGCATCATTATTGAGATCACCAACAATTGCAGAGGAAGGGTAAAAACCAGCGGAATAAATTACTTGATCGGCAAATGAACCATTGCCGAGACCAAGAAGAATGCTGACAGTGTTAGCATCACGATTGGCAACGACGATATCTAATCGGGTATCATTATTCAGATCACCAAGAATCACAGACACAGGATAAGAGCCAGTTGAATAAGTTACTTGATTTGCAAATGAACCATTGCCGTGGCCAAGCAGAATGCTGACACTGTTGCTACCAGCATTGGCGACGACAAGATCTAATCGAGTATCATTATTGAGATCACCAATAGTTACAGACACAGGATTCGAGCCGGTTGAATAAGTTACTTGATCGGCAAATGAACCATTGCCATGGCCGAGAAGAACGCTCGTAGTGTTGCTATCGGCATTGGCAACGACGATGTCCAATCGAGCATCATTATTGAGATCACCAATAGTTACAGACACAGGATTCGAGCCAGTTGAATAAGTTACTTGATCGGCAAATGAACCATTGCCGTAACCGAGAAGTACACTCGTAGTGTTGCTACCGGCATTGGCGACTACAATATCCAATCGAGTATCATTATTTAGATCACCAACAAACACAGATGCAGGATTCGAGTCAGTTGAATACGATCGTGCAATTGTAAAAGATCCGATGTTATATGAGAAAAGAACATCGATATTATCGTTGTCATCGAACCCAACCACAATTTCTGATCGTCCATCATTATTAAAGTCGCCAGCAGTGAGAAGGAAGGGAGATGAAACAAAATGGTAACCATTATTTATTTGAGTTATGCATGTGTCGTTTCCATTTCCAATCATCAGGTCTACATTTGTTGAAACATAGTTAATCACAGCAATGTCCAGTTGTTGATCACCGTTATAATCAGCAATAGCAACTGATGATGGATGTGAATTTGAACTAGGCATTGGCGTTGTTTGACTTCGGAAAGTAGCGTTTCCCAGGCCAAACAGAACACTGACATCATTAGTTCCGTAGTTCGCAGCCACCAGATCTGGACGCGAATCATTATTTAGATCAGCCAGAGCAATATACCGTAGACTGGACCCGCCACCAGATGCGTATGTCATATTCTTTGCAAGTGCTCCTCTATTGTACTGAAGAAGTACGCTGATATTATAGCTATAATAATTTGCGACGACGATATCTAATCGAGAATCATCGTTAAAGTCCCCCGCAGCTACGGAGTAAGGACCAACGCCAGTTGAATAAGTTACTTGGGCCCCAAATGAGCCATCAGCATTCGCAAGCAGAAGACCAACATTGTTGCTATTAGCATTGACGACGACAATATCCAATCGAGCATCATTATTGAAATCACCCACAGTCAGAGAGTGAGGAGTTAGGCCAGTTGAATAAGTAATTTCCTTTGTAAACGAGCCGTCACCATTTGCAAAAAGAATACCAACATTATTGCTATCACGATTGGCAACGACGACATCTAATCGGGTATCATTATTCAGATCACCAAGAATCACAGACACAGGATAAGAGCCAGTTGAATAAGTTACTTGATGTGCAAATGAACCATTGCCGTAGCCAAGCAGAATGCTGATACTGTTGCTACCGGCATTGGCGACGACAAGATCTAATCGAGTATCATTATTGAGATCGCCAACAATCACAGACGCAGGGTCAGAGCCAGTTGAATAAGTTATCTGATCAGCAAATGAACCATTGCCATGGCCGAGAAGAACGCTCGTAGTGTTGCTACCAGCATTGGCGACGACAATATCCAATCGAGCATCATTATTGAGATCACCAATAGTTACAGACACAGGGTGAGAACCAGTTGCAAAAGTCATTTGATCGGCAAATGAACCACTGTCGAGACCAAGGAGAATGCCGACATTGTTGCTATCAGCATTGGTGACGACGATATCCAATCGAGTATCATTATTTAGATCACCAACAATCACAGATGTAGGATTGAAGCCAGTTACATAAGTTACTTGTTCGGTAAATGAACCATCGGCATTTCCGAGAAAAACGCTAACATTGTTGCTACCAGCATTGGCAACGACGATGTCCAATCGGTTATCATTATTTAGATCGCCCACAATTACGGATGTCGGACTAGAGTCAGTTGAATAAGTTACTTTATCGGGAAAACCTTCAAAATAACCAAGAAGAACATCGATGGAACCAGTATCATTGCTTACAACGATGATATCCAGTCGATTATCTCCGTTCAAATCAACTATAGTAAACATAATCGAAGACAAAGAACCTGTTGAATAATATTTTATAGAACTTGTAGAAATATTCTTATCAGTATTAGATCCAAGTAGTATTCCGATATTATTTGCGCCCTGATTTGTGATAGCTATATCCATATTATTATCGCGATTGAAATCACCAAGGGCTATCGCATATGGGGAAACCTTACCCAGTGAAAACGTCTGTTGATTTGTAAAAGTTCCGTTAAAATTGCTGAGAAACATGCCAGCACTATTAGTTCCATAGTTGGCAACAACAATATCAAGGAATGAATCATCATTGATATAACCAGCAGCAATTGAACATGGATGAGAACCAAGACCAGTTGATAAGATAACCTGATTTTCAAAAGTACTCTTGTTATTTGCATAAAGAATAACTATATTGTGTGTATCATAATTCGCCACAGCAATGTCTACATAATTGTCATTATTAAAATCACCAGTGATCAACGAGATGGGTTGAGCGTCATAACCGATCGAGTACGATACTGAATTTGAAAAACGTCCGTTTCCGTATGCATAGAAGATACTCACACTATGGGTTCCATAATTGGCAGTAACAATATCAAGTAATGTATCGTTATTCATGTCTGCAATAGTAATCGAAGCTGGACGAGATACACCAGTGGATATTTCTAATTGATTAGCGAACGATCCATTTCCAAAGCCGAGAAATATTCCAAGATTATGGGTGCGAAAATTTGCCACTATAATATCTAGTTGATGATCATTATTCAAGTCATTAACGACGACCATACGAGGAGATGAACCTGGACCAGTCGAATATTGCATTTGACGCTGAAATGCAATATTACTATTTCCAAAATAGACAGTTATACTATCGACAGCATTATTAACAACGACCATATCTATCCAAGTATCTTTATTGAAATCACCTGTAGCAACTGATCGTGGTCCATATTTATATTTAACTGGATTTGGATCGATTCGATTAAATTTCAGTTCACATTTTGGAACTAAACAAAACAAAAATAAATTATTCAAAACAATAAAATATCCAAATATGTATAGTGCAAAAGAATCTAACTCCGTTTTCTATTATCATTTGTTATCTATCTCAAAATATTTCTCAATCTCATATGAATTGTAATCTTCTAAATAGCATAAGAAATACTTTCACATTTCAATGATTTCAATAGGAAAAATGAGTAACATCAACAAACCTGATGGCTTTGGTGTAGTATAACAGACTATTAGTATACCAACAATCATCGATACAATTAAAAATGAACCAAATGTACAGACTGAATGAATTAATAAATTCCATAGTGGCAAAAGGCCAGCTTTCCTAACAAAGAGTAATGAAATAAAAGGTCACATGACATTGCAAATGATATATACTTAATCTTTTCAATCATATATTCTCCTAATCTAATATTAGTTGTATAGGGTATGCTACCTTCAGGATTAATATTAGGGATTGTGTTTAAATTTATTGTGTTCTCATCAATACCTGCTCTCTTCTAACAAAACAAAGCACTTCAGTATTTATCACGTAACATTAGAATGGTATACTTCTAGTTCAGAGATTTCCATTGTTCAATCGTGTTGTTTTGTTGAATATAAAAATCTGGAAAAAAAACGATATAGTAAATCTACGAGTATCGTTTTGAAAGAAAAAGTGTTATCAGTGGACAATTTGAACTTCTCCGCAAAATAAAAAATATACATTACCAAACCCATCAAAAAGATTTCATAGATGATTCTTCGGAGCGTGTACCCGTGGACAGATCTTTTTCAGGTTTCACAGATTTTAAAAGCCTATGTTTTTCAGCATGTTGGTACCTACGAAACCTTTTCGATGGATTGGGTAATGTACATTGTTTACCTGAAACGAATAACAAATCAAAGAGTCAAAGAAATATAGTATTCTTATGAGACGAATTTTGATTAGAAACCAACATCGCTGAGACAACCAGTCGGTCAAATTTGAAAGTTGAATTCAACTATCAATCGGGAGCAGTAGGGCAATACAAATGTCATTCCTCATATACGAGGTACACAGAGTTTATCAATCATTGAAATGCATAAACTACAGAATAATAATCATTCATGTTTCGTTAATTACGTAAATAAGTAGGATGTGTGATTGACGTGTGAAGAAAAAAATAAAGCTATATGAATATTTTCTTCTTCATATGCGAAAACGAGTGTTACCTTTCAATCGTTTGAATAAATGAGCAAAATAACGATCGTCTATTTGTTTTTGTGAATACAAAGTCGGTATATAACTAAATAGTGATGAGGGCCTCATTCTCTTTTGTATATACACCCTCGCTATTACCTGTCCATCGTGTAAATGTATGAAGAAAATTAAGCAGTTTAATCAAAACATTTGCGATTAATACAACACGTGTATACATAAGTATTTGTTGTTGTTATCAAAGTATGCAGTAGATAGAAGTTTGAAATTCATATGAATTTCTTACGACAGGAATCGACTGGATCCACTATAATTGACGTGTATTCCTACAGACGGATTTCTAAGTCGTTTTCGGTCTAGTTCTCTAACATTACTACGTAGTTTTTAACAGATGACAAACACGAATTATTTACAAATTGTACATATGGAGTCATGAGTATTTAACGAGCTAATTTGCTGAAAAAAAAACTCGCCTGATTTAAACGAACTAGAAGTGCATTCGTGATTACATACGGAGATCGCTCCAGATCCAAGTTTGAAATATAGACTTATTAATAACAACAACAACCATGTTATGTACACATGTTGTACTAATGAAAATATTTTAATTACACTGCTTAATTTTCTTTATACATTAACATGATCGACAGGTAATATTCTTTTTTTTGCATTTGAGAAGAAAATATTCATTTAATTTCACGATGTTGCACAATCGAAGACTAATTCCATACGCGAAATGGAAATATTTTTTCCTCATAAAAACTCCCTACATTGATTTTGGTAGAAATATTCAAGAAATACAAAAATGATTTTCTGACTAAATACTGCAAGTAGACGCGATTTTTCTATATTAGTTGTGGCAATGTCTGTGACAACATTTGTGTATTCATCAATTAATCTTTCAAACACAGATAGATGACTCATGTATATATTATCATCCTCACCTTTCTGTTCATTATATCTATGCATCTCGTCTCATAGCGAGTTCATCTTCATCAATTCATCTAATGATTCTTTTCTCTTCTTCGTGTTTCTCTCTGTCCGTCTCTTTCTCTCCCTGTTCTCTCTTGACTGATGCGCTCAAAAGAAAAGAGAACAGAGGGAACGGATATAAAAGGAAATGTTTGGTTGAAATAAAGTTTGTCGTTACAACACGCATTTATCTGAAAATATACAAAATAAAACTTCACGAAAAGTTCTATAATAGTATGAAAAATATTGAAGCCGGTTGAACTGTTTTAGAGTTATTCGCAAAAAGTTTTCTCAGGGACTTTTCAGCACCCTGCATACACAAACAATCAATGATGCGCCAAACTGGATAACAGCGACTATCTCGAAGCATGACTGATCAATTTTCAGTCAATCAGTGATGAGAACGAGTTGGCTAGTGCAAATATCCATAGTTCTTGCTACTACCGTATAGTGGTGTCATAACTTATATTTTCTCCTCTAAAAAGTAATCTTACTGTTGATAATCAAATGTATTTGCCTGTTAGAGGAAAAGAAGATATATGTTCTGTAGTACTGAGGAACAGATTTCCGGTTCAACATCAGATTTAGTCTCTTGAGTGTCATGAGATTGTTATACAGTTGTTTTGAGTGAAAAGAAAAGAAAAAATTAGCAATAGCTATTAATCATAATCGAAAGTAGCGTAAAGATGTATTAACACTGCTATCTGCTGGCTTTTGGTTATCATTATCAATCATTTGTAAATAAATGTCTTTGCGAATAATTTCTTGTATTTCAATAACTTTTTCATTTAAATGCTTAATGATCAGATTGGCTAAGTGATCATCAATATTACCATCATTGCTTGAAATAGAAAAATTAAGTTTAGATCGAGTCGCTAGGTTTTTAGCCATATTTTGTTCTTTCTCTTCTTCTACGTTACTCATGCGATCCCAATCGACTAATAATGGTTCTTGTTCATTAGGGTCATATGTCTGTTGTTTATAAACACGTTGATAGCTTTCGCCAAGAACAGAAATAACCATACCCATCGTTGCCGTACCAAAAACTGCACACATACAAGCTATTATACGGCCAAGCCATGTCATTGGAGAAATATCACCATAACTGTTAAAATCAATTTAAAAATTGATAGTGTGATTAAAGTGCCTCCAAAAATTCGCTTTGTCACCAGTTTACTTACCCAACGGTTGACATTGTAATAATTCCCCAATAAGTTGCTGCTGGAATCGAGCTGTAATTTGCATTGTCTTTTTCTTCTGCAAGATAAGCTGCTGATCCGAACAGAAATGCTATGGTAGTTATACTGATAGCCGCTCCTGCAAGATCAAACATTGATTCTTTCAAAGCTCTACCAAGAACACGCATTGATCTCAATTCTCGAACAATGGTTAAAAGTCTTAGTGTACGCAGTGCACGTAAGAGACGAAATATGTGTACAACTGTCAGGTTTACACCTTTGCTTGTACTGGTTGCTAATAAAGGCACAATGCAATAATAGGGAGCAATAGCTAATATATCGACCCAAGTCATAAATGACAGAAAAAAATCTTTATACGATGGAGTACTGATTAAACGAAGAAAAAATTCGATTGTAAAATATGAAACACAGATGCTTTCAATAGTAAAATATGGCATTGTAGAAAATATTCTCGGACAACCTGCCACAAATTGGTATGTTGAAGAGCCGTTAAGATTTGTTCCACTAAAACAAAGACCTAACAAATCTGTTTTGATACTTGGCAAAGTTTCAATAGCTAATGTGATACTGGAAAGAAGAGTAATAGCCATTGAAATAATATAGATCCCACGTGCTAATATTGAAGATGCAGGATATTGCAAATGTTGCCAAATAAGCCGACGCCAGCGCTCATTAGGCATTATCTTAGGTTTAATCTCACGTAAATTTTCTGATTCTACCACTTGCGCAAGTGCTTTTGGACCTAATTGAAAATATCTAATTTCTTCAAGAAATATATCTAATGGAACGTGATCAGGTCGACGAAGACGTCCATTTGATTGATAATAATATAAAATTGCTTCAAAACATGCACGATGTCGACCGAAAAAGTATTCTTGTCGATCTGTATTCCAAAAGATTTTTCGTTTATTTTCATCACCCAATAGTGATTCGGGAAAAGCATTGAGACTGGACAAATGGATTTCAAATTGACAGCCACCAACATTGATTCTAACAATTGAGCTTTTCTCGGATACTCTTGAACTTCAATGAATGAACAAAATTCTCTAAATTAGATTCATAAGAATATATCTTTTAAACTTACTCTACAACGCCATGATTTTCTCTTTTTCTAGATTCAGACATAGGAGCTAGGAGAGAGAGAGAGAGAGTATGTGGATAGTTTAAACAATAGAACGTAAAAATGGTTAACTTGTTTGTTATTTTGCTTTTTTCGTTTAGGATCCTACAGTTTGCCGAATTGAAGGACGACGTCACTATATTCACGTTTCAACTAAACAAGGAGAAGATAGACAAATTATGAAAACAAATTTTAAAACGCAACTCAATTTAAGAAGAAATACGATCTACGACTATAGAAGTGTTTCTAACATGGAAGAGAAAATACTTTTCGACGAACCTTTATATTACACATAATCGAAAAAGGCTTAGAATTCAGTAAAATTATCGAAGATGTTCCAGGTTTTACATAGCATTGGTTCTTTCAGTGTATTGAAGGAAATATTAGAATGGATTATGCTATAGTACTTCAACTTTCAAGAAACTACTGATCGGAAATTTGATCATCACGAAAATGCATTATAGTAACGAAATTAGAGGTCTCTTCTGTTTCTGATCCTTGAAAATAAGGCTTCTCAAGCAAATATATGAAAAAATCTCATTTGACTAACGCATGTATCGAATAAAAATAACACGATGATATTTAGCTTAAATTATGAAACAAGGCTGTTTGAAGGCATATTGACAAAAGTAGTAGATTGCATTCTAAACGAAAACAAGTCATGAAAGAAAGCATGTGATGATTACACTATTTTATATTGCTATTAACTACAGTGCTTATTCAACCATGTATCTATTTTCTTTTCTCATAAGAAAAAAAAACAAGCAATTAGATATCTTATCAGATAGGCAATAACTAGTTGGATCATTTAGAAGTCATTGCATCTAACCTATGACTATGCTTATACTCAAACGATGTCATCAACTAGACTAAAATTTGTCGGACAAATGGATGAGCCGTTCTCGAGACATAGATCATATAAGCGAGTGGAGGTCGACTACTATACATTTTGCTTCTTTTCGAGAGAAGCCTCCTCTCTTTGAAGAAAATGTAACAATTAACCACGTTTTTTACACCGCGTGTGCAGTAAGCAAAGAGTATGACATTTCTCCTCTTCCACAAATATTGAAGAAGAAACAAATTTCATTGAATCCATTCAGCTGTTCAACATCAATGAATTACATCCGGATGAAAACATTAAATATGTGCTACTTGGCGAATCTGCTGCTTCCACGAAAAAGCTTTGAGAAATCTACCGTTGTTGTTTTTTTTTCTGTGTAAATGATAGATATATTTCCAAAGAAACCATAATAAAGTTTAAAAAATGAACAAATGTTACACCTATTAATTCCACCGACAGGAGAAACAGCGGAATTTGTATTAAGAAATCTTCAGTATAGTTAAACTCGAAAACTAGCGTGCGTAAACAAAATTGTATAAGAGAAATGACCGGAGGAAAGAGGGCGTTTCTTTTCATTATTTTGCTTGTTCGACATGAGACAGCAATATTATCTACCAATGATCAATATTATTAGTGAGTATGTGATGATTCATATGAAAAATGATGCGCAAGACATAATGTTTCATTTATTCGTAGCTTTTATATATGTAAAACACAATAAACAACTATGACAAATTCGGAAAAATCATCTCAAATCAGCAAATTTTACCTTGCCTGTCGAAATGGTGATGTAGAATATGTGAGAAATTATCTCACAACATTATCACCAACCAAATGGAATCCCAATGAAATTGAAACACATATAAATAGTACACCGTTACACGCAGCTTCATTTTATGGTCATGCAGAAATAGTTAAACTTCTTCTTCAATACGGATGTGATCGATCACAAACAAATAGTTATGGTCTTACGGCTTACGAAGAAGCTGCTAATGACGAAATTCGTCAACTTTTTAATCGTCCAAGTGATGGTGATTCGAGTGCATCTCGTTTCCAAGATGAAAATATCGCAGATTGTTTCGAATTTGTTAAACCACCTAAGGAATATGTAAGTAGTATAAAACATGGAAAAATAAAGACATCGACAGTTGAAGATTACAAAACTGAAGAAGAAAAACAACTTGAAATTGGCTTTTCAACAACATCGATAGCTCTATCACAGTCAAAGCTGGGAAGATTTCTTGCGGATAGATTTCATCCTGATGCACCAATGTCACTGAAAAATATAGCAAATAGACTTCAAGATTTAATCGATCGAGAAATTACTGCTAATGAAGATCCTCAATCAACCAAAGCAAATGACTTATTGAACAAATTTTCAAATGATCCTGATGAAACAAGAGGTGTTGAATATTTAATAAGATTGTACACATTAGAAACAAAACTTTATCATGCTCTTCGACAAGATCCAATGCCATTAGCTTTACCTTTATACAAAACATTAGAAACATTGAAAGATCGATATTTTCAAGGACAAAGTTACCGAGGTGCCAAATTGGACGATGATGATATTGCTATTTATCAAAATGCCGCTGTTCATCACCAAAGCTTTTTACAAACAAAACATTTTTCTTCATCATCTGCGCAACGTTCTATTGCAGAAGAATTTTTAACCCATCATAATAAAAATCCATCGGAAAACCGTCGAAATTCAGTTCTATTTACATTTAATTTTCCGATACATTGTGATCAAGCAATTGATTTAGGTAGAATATCAAATGAGCAACCTTGTTTATCGGAATTCGAAAATGAAGCTGAAATTCTTATATTACCATGGACAATATTTCATGTAGATCGTGTGGAATATCAATCATCATGTTATACAATTTATTTAACAAATGTTTTGTTACCTCATAAAGATATTTTATCGTCATTTAAATGGATATTAACACATCCTAAAGGTTCGATGGATCGTTTTCACCAACATTTTCCAAAGAGAGAATCACAAACCTTAAAACAACTCCTAAAGAACATTTCTGTGCCGGAAGAATATGTTCTAAGAAAAAAATGAATAAATGAGGATGTGAATATGTCTCTCTCGTCATTCACTTCACACTCATGCTCTCACAAGACGGTATTTTGCACGGATGAAAATTTACAAATGGCTTTTTGGTCGCCTAATTTGCCGCATGCTTATATGGGGCTCGTTTTCTTTTCGAAGTTTTTCTAGGGAACTGCATTTCTTTCGAACAATTTGCTTTTTTATGATCTGTGAAGAAACATCAGATTAGATTGTTACAAATTGTATGCCTAAAAGTGATACGGTCGAAAACATATGAGTATTTTTCTTGCGTTTCGTCATCAAAGTAGATCATGATCGATATCGAGTCTGATTTTTTAGGGAAAACATCTCGAGGGTACGTGTGCGTGAACATGCTTCTTCTTCTATCACCAACTACACCCACATTCTCGAAACTAGGTTAATATATTCTATGTACATCGTAATAAGAGTATGTGTTTTTTTGCCCCTTTATTAAAATGTTGTTTTTTCGATAGATTTCGTTCGTTTAAAACGCTTGAGGAGACAAAGTCCGATGAAACATTGGTAAGTTAAGTGAATGATTGGTCTAAGAAGAAGTTTACAGATTAAAAATGTCAATGAAAATAGTTCAATCACCACACCGAGAAAGAGCACATTACGAAAAAGTATTTCATATTTTCTTGCAATTGGTTCCTGAGTGTTCTGAATGAAAAACTGCGATTCTCGTAATTGGATTGAAATTGTTGTTGATAAACTAAGATACCGGAGGTACTCGTCCGTTGGTGCCAAGCGAGTTTTTGTCGTGATATCTTTTCCAGTGATCAAAGGAATCCACAGACCAGAATATTGCATTTGTTGATTACCTTCTAACGATTCCGTCCGATTAACTACTTTTGTTAAAGTTATATCCAATTCTGGATTTTCATCAATTGTATGATTGGCATCGGAAAATACGTTGCAAGCAAATAATGAACGTAAAACATATTTTCCATCGTCGATCGTTCGATTGGATCCTTGTAAACAGATTTGAAGGATGGCTATCGGATGAACTGAGCTAATCTTAATTGTTGTTCGTGCAACGTGTGTTAAAAGTGTAACAACTAATGCTAATGTCGCATTATTGTCCTTCATTGAACAATTAAATGAAGGGAAAGAAGTAAAATAATCACCATTCTTTTGTCTAATATCGAATCTGGAATTTACACAATCAAGGTTTGTATTTATCAAGTGAAATACTAATTGAAATGGTTGACCATCAAGTAAATCGAAGATGGGACGTTCGTCATTAGTTTTCGGTAATGCGAGTAATTGTAATCCACTTGTAAATTTGGCATTGACAATATCTGAATCGCAAACAAACGATGAAGAACGAAAGTTTTCAATCGGATACAGATTCATGTATTCAAAACTAAACAAAGCAGCGAATGTAACCAGAACGAATATACCACAAGAGACGACACCGCCAATCCACAGTTGACCTTCAGTAATTAAATCAATATGTGAGAGAATTTGATGAATTTTCAATCGATAACGAAATGTCGATGGGAAATACGAACAGAGGAAAACAAGAATTGCCAAAAATAAAACTATCGAAATAACAAGAAACATCCAAAACGCTGGAGAAATAGAAAGACATTGAAAATGAAACATATTTGATAAGATTATATCATCGAATGAGTCAATGTTCGATTTCGATGGGTAACTAACTATCTGATTAACATTTTTGTATTCAAACTCATCACTTAATGCTGCTAATGGACAATTTTCCTTCTTCTCACATTTTTCACATTGAATACTACCAGATTTCGATGTTTTTTCGCCTGTAGGGCAATAAACACATTGTTCCAATGATCGATTCGAGTTTTTATACATTCCCGGCAAGCACGCAGCAAATGTTGCAAATCGATATATCAAATCATCATCCAGCGGACCACCAAAATCAATGAATTCTTTTCCTTTCGACGATATCAATGGTATTATCAATAAATACCAATTCTGTTCCGGATATTCTGCACTTATTCCTAAATAGTTTCCATTAATGTTAATCAAATTCGAAAAACTTGGTACTTGATCTTCCTTTTCATAGGTAATTCTTTGTTGTTTATTTGGAAAAACATTTTGAATACGTAAATCTTCATCTTCATAATTGAAAAAGAATATCGATGAATTTGCGAATTGAGTGAGAGGCGCATTTGAAAAAAGAACGGCTAATTGTCGAGTATTGTTTACCCAAAGAACTGAATGACTGGGTAATTGCCCAGCTTGATCTAAAAGAACCTTTTTGGTATTGATTGTGATTCGTTTTATATTCAAATCAATATTTCCAAAGGCAATTAAATTGATTTCTTGAAATAGAATGGCCAGATCATTGTGATCATTGATTGACATTACCATTCGACCTTGAAAATCATCATATTCCGATAAATTGATTGTTTCATAACTATGAAGTCGTACCTCTAGAAATGAATCGATTTCGACTAATAAAAATGAAGGACATTTTTCACATCGGAATGATGTTTCTCCAAATCCGAGTAAGAAATAATTTTCACCAACAACGATAATATTTGATAAATCATGAAAGTTTTTCAAATCTGATGAATTCAGCCAGGAATATGAATTGATTTCAAACGTATGAAGATTATACATAAAAAAACCAACAGCTGAAAAGAAATAAACTCGATTTTCAAGGCGATGGTCATATATAGTCATCAGAGTCTCATATGGATTGTCGACCGTTTGATTATTGAGCACAGTAAATTCAAGTTCAAATGTATCTATTTGATCGAAAATATAGTTTAATTGAACTAAACCAATTCGCTGCGTCTTATTATAATCTTCACCGAGATAAACAAATTTATCGCCTCGTATTGCAATAACATGGGTGATTGATTCTAAATTTGGATCGATCTTATTGCAAGAGTGATCTTCATAAAAACTGTATTTATAATAATCTTCATTATTATTCTCTGAGAATGCCCATATTGGCGAATTAATTACAATACCAGCGGTGTCAATCCTTTTACCATTGGAATCACGTAATATTGAGAGATAACCATCGGGACTTATGGAAAAATCGGATTGATCAGCTTTAATGAATAGATTACATTCAACCAGAACAATAAACACGATCTCAATCTTGATCATATACATGTATTGTTTTTTTTTCTTCAATATTCAAATGGAAACCTTTTACATTGATAACGCTCGTTCTTATTAGAATTTCAAAATCATAACTTATACAAACAGGATCAGATTTCGTTTGTCTTGTTATTCACGAATGAAGTTATGTTTATCATTAACAAATATTGATGTACTTGATCAGTAAGAAGAATGATTGGTAATTCATAAAATAAAGAAAAGAATAGAATGGATCCACGTAAAGCTAGTTCCGATAACTTTCGAATACCGTATATCCAGCTTACAGATTTATAGCAAAACAAACGTTGGTAATAATAAGAAGAAAAAAAACGATTGTGAATTTCATAACGAATAGCAAAAAACTCACATTTGACTCATCGACTATAATCCAGTCTCAGCCAAGGAATAGTGTAAATTTCTCAATAATGTCATTCTTTATTACCAATTAAATCCTTTTTTTACTTTAGACAGAGCGCTCTCAGATATTCACCTTCAGTTTTAGAGAATAAAAATAGATAGAGATTTCTCTCTTTTCGCCAATGTTTGAATTTTATTTTCAAACTAAAGAAAATTGTAAAAAGTTCATTCTAAATCAATTGGTCATATTGGTTTAAATTGAACATGAATAAATAATGTTGAATAAGTTAAACTATTGTTATTTGCTCTTAAATGAATATGACGATAACCTTAAAAAGACGAAAGAATTACAAAATCAAATCAAAATCGATTATCTAAACCTGTCTGCATAGTTGTTATTGGTAAACAAAAGTAAGCTAAACGATTATGATCACAAACATCAAATCTCATTAAACACATTTGAGGAAAATAAATATCAAATTGAAATATTTCATTCCATTCTAAATTCAAACTTTTACAGCTAAATGTTTTCGTTTTTTGTATTTGTTGATCACATGGAATTCCACGTGTAGACATAAGAATATATGGATCACTAGCATTGGTTCGACGTAGAAATTGTCCACTAATAATTGTCAAAATTAAACGTTGTGGACATTCAAAAATATGTTCCGAATATTTCAATGGTTTTGTTATATAATTTAAAGGATTAAATAAAGATCTGCTAATATGAGTTAAATATTCTGGTTTTAATACATAGCCACAATTTCCATTATCCATAAATTTTCCATAAGATAATGATAAAATCGGATCATCATTTTGATAATCTAATGCAACCATTTGAATACCAAAATTCCAAGGTGTAATTGGATCGGGATTACTTGAATCTTGTTGAAGATCATCGGGATACATGAGAAGAAATGAATTCAATGTTTGTTTAATCAAATCTATTGAATTAACTTCAACAAATCGATTAAAATCTTTTTCAGAAAGGTTTTCTGATTGATAATAAGGAACATAATCTTTTGCATCTTCATATTCATCATCATCAACAAAGTCCTGATCGTCGATGTTGTTTTCATTTATCTAAACTAACAAATTTCACTTCGAAAAGACAAAATTGTCAACATATACTTCATGGAAATATTCTTCTTCATCAATCAGAGCAGGAAAATTGATTCCCTTCAATATTCAAAAGATATTTTTCATTCGAAAAAAAATCCAATTCTTCCTACTCGAATAATAACTTTGTATTTAAGATCTTCTGGTGATGGTAAAACCAACGAATGTTTTGTTAATAACGATTCAGTTATCAATTGATCTAGTTTAGATGAGAAATTCATCGACGTTTCCTTTCATCGAAAAATTCTTTTACCACCGAAAATTTTTTGTAAAATTTGAGTTATTTGAAATTCTTGTTCATTCGAACAATGATTGCCAATATCAATTATAACAGGATAAACTGATATTTTAAAAAGATTCGGTTGAATAGAACGAATAATTGATTCGAATAAATACGGTTTAGCAAGTGTTAAATTATCTTTAACAATGGGTTGACCATGATCACCATCATAACAATCGATTTGAATTGCACGACAACCCATTTTTAATATACGATTAAATGATTCCGGATTACTTTCACCAATATGTTCATTATTAAATAAATAACTAACAAAACAAAAGATCCAACAAATTCTTCATTTTCTGATTTATTCTTACGTATTATATGATGTATTGATATAATAATCATTAAGTGGTCTAAATTATCAATAAAGTCTTGTGATAAACTATCTTTATACATCTATACCTTGTCATATCTTGATAAACACAACGAGAACACCATGGTTTCATAAGAGTAAAGTCATCTGATAGAAGTAAATCTCGAAAACCTAAAGAAGGAATCGATCGAATATATGAAAATTCATTAAATTAGATTGACCTTTCAAACTAATATGACCCTTTTCTTTCATTTGATCATTTAATTCAAATTGCTGAATTAATTCTTTGACTTGTTCATTTGTATTGATTGATTCGAGTGTAAAATTACATTTTGAATCATTTTTTTGCGTTTTTAATACAAATTGCTTAGTAAAAAAACAAAAACAGATCAATTCATTGAAAAATTATATTTGACTAATTTACATTTTGTTCTTTTTGAAGAAATTCTAATAATTGTTCTGCTGTTAAATAAATCGAATCAATTGTTTGATTTTCCGTATTATTCGCATATCTTTACAGATCAATTGAAAGGAAAATGAAAGACAAAATTTTTCATTTACTTTTTCATTATTTGATAAAGATCATGACGAAGTGTAATTGAATGAAATAATTCAAGAAATTCATCACTTACTAAGGAATTTTTATCGATTTTCTAAAAATGAACATTTCAGAAAATAGTTTTTTTTTGCTAAAACTATAAACTTACTTGAAAAAATCTTTCAAAATCTTCATCAGATACTTTTGTATTGAATGTATCAATTAATAATTGTCGACATTCTTCTTTTGACAATGAGTCTGAACGTTGTTTCGTAGTCGAATAGAAACAATTCAAAATCCAACTTAACAACAAAAAGTTCGTTTTTTTGCTTATGAATGTTGTTTGATTTTTACTTTGTTTCATTAGTAAGATAATTTTGTTGAGTTTGAGAATGAATTTCTATAAGATATTGAAGACCTTCGATCCATATATTTCGCATTTCTTCATCATTTGCAAGAAGATTGACTTCATCACGATAGTTATTCGAAAATATCGAAAACGCGCATTGTTCCTACAGGTAAATAACTTCGAATGTATGAAATATAAATTGGAGATATTTATTTACATCATCTTGTCTAAGAAGTTTATGTTGAATAAGTCGATTGAATGTTCTTGTTTTGAATCCAACGCGTATTTCATCGATTTGATTTATATAATCTATAGAAGAAGAAAAAAAATCACATTTTTCTTTTTCGTAAATAATATTTACAACGTATCGGCGATGGGAGTGTTCTATTTGTTTGACGATAAGTTACAAATTGCTCACTTTTATGTAAATAATAATGACGAAAACATTTTGCTCCATCGTGTTTTTGTTCGACTAATACACAGCCTAGTTTTAATTCATGTAAAAGTTCATTCATTTGCTCTTGAGTTTTTGTTAACATGTTGTTCAATTGAAAATCTATTGAATATAATTGATGTGTATGTATAAAATGTGCTCGAACAGAGTGATTGGTTCGATTCAATGATTCGCTCTATGTAGAGAAAGAGAGGAGAAAAAACACAGATATGTTTATGGTTTTTATATAATGATGAAGCATGGAAAAATACAATCACATGTGGGAAGGTTTTTTTTTTAATATGCGGTATATCACTACGAATAGAAATATAATTTCATTTAAGACAAATGGTTGGAAGTGAAGATTCGCGCGGATTTTGTTAAAATTAGTTATCGGAATAATTCAGGTGTAGACGTGAAAACGAGAATTCGATGAAATTTTGAAGACAATGAATGATTATTCCATGTGATAAAGATTATTGGTATCGATTTCTATTTGATTTTAGCTATTGATGCTTATATTTTTTGTACAACTAAGAAAGAAGTGATACAATAGAATTCAAGAAGAAATGTTGCTTGAATATCACCTGTTACCATTGTTGAGAGATATGGCATAAAAATACCTTTTACAAACGCATCTGTCATACTCTATTTACCCCAATCACGAACAATGTACGAATGTATATAATGTCTTCTATTCGGAATGGAATGACAACAGAAAATATAGTCATTAACGTTCCGGAACGCGGCTTTTTATGTTCAAATACTTTGTGTTTGATAAATTATTCTTATTTTATGTGAAAAAGTAGTGACACGAATACTTCTTGATTGTAATGATTGATAAAACTGATGTTTTAGATTAAAGCCGCGGCTCTAAACAAATCTGTTCGGATGATTCAATATTATATAAATAGAGAAAGTAAAAAGAATAAATTTCTTTCGATGGGTAATCATGGGTGACAAAACGAATATGTTTGGCCACATGTTTTATATAACGCATGTTATAAACACAAACAGATTGTATAATTTACCTCTACACTGTATTGTGCTTGTAAAGGATTCGAAGATAAAGAATTTTTCTTGTTAAGATAGTTCGATAGCTAATTGATTACAACGATGAAATACCATTAGAGAAATGAATGATGTTGATAGTAAAACATAACATTTATTTGAAGGAAAATATAGAGTTATAGAGATATTTGACAAATGGATTTATACAGTAAAAATCTCATCAATAACTGTTTGAAAGTTACGCTTGAATTTCTATTTTAAATAAATCTCTCGTGTTCGTTAAAGCGTATGTATCCTTATTGATGCTTCGAATGAATTAGAACCGATTGTTTTGTGAACAAATGAAATGAATCTTTTCTACGATGTGATTTTATGTTCAAATTTGTTCTCATTCTTTAAAGCTTAAAACGAAATAATCGAGAAACAAAATATTTAAATCAATCAAACTACAAGTGAAATTTGCCGGTATTTCGTTTGATATTGTTCCATTTCTTACTGAATTCATCGTTGTAATAAACGTTACTAATGTACTCGTTGTTATTGTTGCAGTCGAAAAAGTTATTAACGATGAGAAATGTTATAAGCTTCTGTGATAAAATCTTCAATTTTACTCGGTGTCTCAAATCCATTACATTTTTTTCATAGCAGAATAATAACAAAGATGATCGCAAGATATAGGTGTAGTATCATCGTCTTCGTCATAACATTTTATCCGACGTTTCGATTGAGAATTTGAAGATGAAACATACAGTTCTTTGATAAAATTTCGTCGTAATTTCTCAACTTTTTTTCTCAAATGAAATAACCAATCGATGCGACATGAATTTCCTTAAATTCGATCTTCATTTTAATCAAATTTTCTTCATATTCAAAATTGTTTGTATGTTATTGTCTTGTCGAGATTTTCGTATTCTATGAGTAAATGAGATTTGTTTAGAATTGAAAATGATAATTCTATATTTTGATTTTGACTATTGAGACAGGTTGGCATTACAATGAAAAATACCTGTTCATTTTGTCTTTAAAAAGAAAGAAAAAAGAAACTTTTTTTTCTGGATGTAGTTCATATGTAAATATTAATACTGTCAATGACATGTTCGTATACATTTTTATTTAGAAATATTTGCCAAGGATCATTTGACAAACTTTTTGTCATAAAACTCTTCGAATGATGAAGAAAATGAAATGATATTCGACTGTTCGACGATGTGCGTGTGTAAGATAAACGAATATAGACACGCACTTACATGATTCGTGTTAAAATAGATATGCAAATAGTAGAATAAATATTGTATAATTATTGGATCGACGAGTGATACAGTTGCTTGTTATGAATAAAATTGTTTGATTCGTTATATTTAATAGTGATTGATTCTTAATTTCATTTGAATACATCATAGAAGATTTGAATTGATATGAAATGTTATAATATTGACGAATAAATTCACCAATTTTTACTGTTGTTTCATATTTATTACATTTATTTGTACTACAAGAATAAGCGAATGCGAATAAAGGATTTTCATTAATTGTTGGTAAGATTTTGTATTGTATTTTAATTTGTTCATCCAAGAAATTTAAACGAGAAGCTCCGCAAGAATAATCATCAAGAAAATCAAATGATTTCATATAAAAACACATGTCTTCAGAACATTTCATAACTTCATTTAAGTTATCACCATCATAACATTGTAATTGACTTTTTCGCTGAAGAATTCTATCAGTATCATCGATCAATTGTAACTCTTGTCGAAAATAACCTTTCATGATTTCAAACTTTTTATTTAATTCAAATAGCCAATTAAGTTTACCATTGATAACAAATGAATGTCAATATTCTTCAGCACATAAATCATTAAAACATAGAAATTTAATCGTTGATTCAGTATATTCATTTCCAAGAAATATGTGAGTATCTAAATGAAATTGATTCGTGTACTTCCACCTGTGAGAACCAACACCGAACTTAATGTTTAAAATATGATAATTTTGAGTATATTTTATAATCATTGTCATATGACACAGGTCACTCGTCATGATTCGTCTTTTTTGTAATTTAAGATAGATATGTACAAAACCGATGAAAATTTCTACGACGAAAATGAAGATCAGTATTGTATTTATCATTACACACTCGATAGCACAAAAGATTTGATTTTATCATCACGTTCTTTCTATACATATTGTATTCGAACAAATGAAACTTATTTAGAATCTCACAGACCTAATTCTCCAATAAGTTTCAATGAATTGCGTCAACGTGGTATAACACATTATGAATTACTTACCTGGTCAGCGCCAATTGATATTGTTGAAGATTATCAAATATATTTAATGAATATTTCACAAAATATATCGATTTTAGGTCTGAAACATTTCTATAATTGTACATGGCCTTTGTTTGGACCTTCATGCCAATTGAAATTCGAAATTGAACATAAATCAATTGATGATCTTATTATAAAATCACTTCGTCAATTTGGAGATGAAGATGACCAAGAATATTTAACAAAACCGACATCATGTTATATACATTTATCATGTAATTACATTTATCCCTATCCATTGTGTTTAGATTGGCGTGAAATTTGCGATGGAATAATTCATTGTTTAAATGATGCTATTGATGAACAATTTTGTTTTGAACTGGAATTAAACGAATGTACACATTCTGATGAATATCGTTGTCACAATGGAGCACAATGTATTTCTTCTGGATTTTGGCATGATGATCCATATCATCCCGATTGTCTTGATCGTTCGGATGAATTTTTGGATTATTCACGAGATTGTTATATTAATTCAGTGATTGCATGTGAAGAACATACATGTCGAGCAGATTCGAATGCATTTGTTTGTGGAGATGGATCTTGTGATGATTTTTTTGATTGTCGAAATGGACGAAGTGAACAATTAGATATTCTTTGGAATGAAAAACCAATCGATCAAATACTCGGGAAAGAATGTTGGAAATTAATCAGTTGTCTCGCAAGGATTAATACATTCGAAGATTGTGATTGTATTCAATTCGATTCATGTAGTAGATCTATAAGACTTAGTTGTCCAGAATTATTTCGTTATCCGTCGTATCCTGTTGCACTTGGTCATATCTATTTTTTCTATACAAATACACAAAGAAATTATTATCAACCAAGGGAATTTGTCTCTCCAGTCTATGTTTGCTTTAATAAAACATTATGCCCATTTTTCAACAAGACCGTTCGTATAACATTAGATAATCAAACGTTCTTCACTTGTCACAATCAACCAGATTTACCTATTCGAAATCATGATCAAATTCGTTCATGGCATCATTTTCGAAAAGCTGTGGAAACTTTTTATTCAGCTAATTGTATGACATATGATCAAGTGAATAGATATATGAAAAACGATTGTGATTCACATTCTCAGTTGTATCAATGTCTGCAATCTGATAAATGTGTCTCAAAACATCGTCTTCTTGATTCAATACAAGATTGTCCATTAAATGATGATGAAACTTATGAACATAGTTGTGCGTTAACTTATAACAAATATCGTTTTCAGTGTAGAAATAATGAAACATTGAAATGTATTTCTCCACTTCTCTATGCTCATACTGAATATGATTGTTTAACTCGAAAAGTTAGTTCAGATCATGAAAATGGTATTGAAAAAACCAACATAAATACAATGATTTCATTTGCAACATTATGTGATGGACTTGAAGATCATCGTCCACTGATAATGGATGATCAAACAATAGAGACAGATGAAACAAATTGTGATTATCATATATGGCCTTGTAATACTACATATACTCATTGTGATGGGTATTGGAATTGTGATAACGGTTTAGATGAAGTTGGTTGTTCATCAAATTTAATTTCTTCTTCATTGAATTTATCTTGTCAACCAATGCAACATATTTGTATATCATCTATTACACTCACACCGATATGTTTAAATATAACGTTGGTAAATGATAATTTTATTGATTGTCTAGGTGCATTCGATGAAAGGCATCTATGTCGAAATAAATTCAATAATCCTACTCAACGTTATCGATGTTCAGAAGAAGAGCATTGTTATAATCCTAATGTTGTATGTGATGGAAAGTCGGACTGTTGGAATGACGAAGATGAACGTCTTTGCGATTACATTACCGTAAGTTGAATTGGTCATTTTTCCATGTTAGTTGTTCTGCGATTTCCGACATGCTTAAGATTGTCTCCGATAATTTTGGCAAAAGGATTTTCTCATCAATTGATGTTTCATGCGTGCTTTTTTTGTACTCGTACAACCGAAGTTTTGAAAGAATTTGTTCGACATTATATGACGAAAAAAAATCTCCTTGATAATATTTTCTCGCATTTTACTTTAGAATAAATATGGAATGAATGAATATTTTACTTGGACTAGTGAACATGTAACTTGTTCGAAAGATATGGCAAGATATAAGTTATATGTTTTTGAAATACTTTGTAGTCTTGATCAAACGCGAAAACGAAATATTGTTCATTTTACTTTGGATTCTTCGACGGTGTATCCAAATGTTTTAGAAACATCGAAAAATTCAAAATCGACAGATAATTCTTTGTCAATGTATGAACTATTGTCAGATTCTAAATTAAAAAGTCACTATTCGAATTTTCCAACTTATCATCGCTTATGCAATCGTGGTATACCAATACAAACTGGACGAATATCCACATGTTTGTGTCCACCAAGTTATTATGGAGATAAATGTGAATATCAAAGTCAACGAGTAACTGTAACTCTTCAATGTGGAACAAAAATAGAATGGCGAATGATCTTTCTCATCGGAATAACATTAATTGATAATGATTCAATTGTTCATTCATTTGAACAATTTGTCTATACAGCTGTACATGATTGTCGGACGAAATTTACAACTTATTTTTTATATAACTCACGATCGAAAGATCAAAAAAAAGAATATTCTATACGAATTGATGTTTATGCTGGTAATACATCGAATTATCGATCAAGTTGGTTATATCCAATTAAATTTCCATTTTTACCAGTACATCGAATGCCTATTCAAATAATAATTCCTTCACTATCAATCAATGCAAATTCTCATTCTTCTATTTGCGGCAATCATGGAACTTTAAAACGATATGTTACCAATGGTGAAACATTTTGTCATTGTAATTCAGGATGGCGAGGAATTCGATGTGATATTCCATATCAATGTCATTGTTCACCAGATTCAATTTGTATGGGAACATCAACTTCATGTTTATGTCCAGTGCATAAATTTGGTACACGTTGTTATCTCGAATATGATGTTTGTAAATCAAATTTATCATCACCATGTTTTAATAATGGAATATGTATTCCTACAGATAGAAGATTTGTCGACGCAAAGAAAAAATTTACATGTTCATGTCCGGACGGATTTTCAGGTGATCAATGTGAATTCAATAGTTCACGAATTGAAATTGATTTCGACGAAGAATTGAATTTACTACATAAAAAAGTAGCTGCACATTTTATAACAGTCTATGCAAATACAAGTCATAAACACGCCACTCACGACTTTTCGTTCGCACCGGTTAGTCGCGTACATATCGATTCTTACGTTCTTCTTCGTATCTTATCTTCATCTTTATCCTTATCCCTTGCTGTGATGAATAATCACAACGAGGGGTATGAGTCACCAGTGGCGTCAGATCAGTTTCATCAAATCTCCCCACTGCAAATCCGAAAGCAGAACAACGAATGGACGACTAACAAACGTCCAAGAANCTTTCACCAATATGTTCATTATTAAATAAATAACTAACAAAATAAAAAACACCTCAATAAATTCATTTACAATCTTCATTTTCTGATTTATTCTTACGTATTATATGATGTATTGATATAATAATCATTAAGTGGTCTAAATTATCAATAGAATTTTGTTATAAATTATCTTTATACATCTATACCTTGTCATATCTTGATAAACAAAACGAGAACACCATGGTTTCATAAGAGTAAAGTCATCTGATAGAAGTAAATCTCTAAAACCTAACGAAAAAAAAACAATCAAATATATGAAAATTCATTAAATTAGGTTGACCTTTTAAACTAATATGACCATTTTCTTTCATTTGATCATTTGATTCAAATTGCTGAATTAATTCTTTGACTTGTTCATTTGTATTGATTGATTCGAGTGTAAAATCACATTTTGAATCATTTTTTCGTGTTTTTAATACAAATTGCTTAGAAAAAACAAAACAAATCAATTCATTGAAAAAACATATTTGACTATAATTTACATTTTGTTCTTTTTGAAGAAATTCTAATAATTGTTCTGCTGTTAAATAAAGCGAATCAATTGTTTGATTTTCCGTATTATTCGCATATCTTTACAAATCAATTGAAATGAAAATGAAAGACAAAAATTTTTCATTTACTTTTTCATTATTTTATAAAGATCATGACGAAGTGTAATTGAATGAAATAATTCGAGAAATTCATCACTTACTAATGAATTTTTATCGATTTTCTAAAAATGAACATTTCAGAAAAAATAGATTTTCCTTGTTAAAAATATAAACTTACTTGAAAAAATCTTTCAAAATCTTCATCAGATACTTTTGTATTGAATGTATCAATTAATAATTGTCGACATTCATCTTTTGATAATGAATCTGAACGTTGTTTTGTAATCGAATAGAAAGAATTCAAAATCCAACTTAACAACAAAAAATTTGTTTTTTTTGCTTATGAACATTGTTTGATTCTTACTTTGTTTCATTAGTAAGATAATTTTGTTGAATTTGAGAATGAATTTCTATAAGATATTGAAGACCTTCGATCCATATATTTCGTATTTCTTCATCATTTGCAAGAAGATTGATTTCATCACGATAGTTATTCGAAAATATCGAAAACGCGCATTGTTCCTATAGGTAGATAAACTTCGAATATATTAAATATGAATCGTAGAGATTTATTTACATCATCTTGTCTAAGAAGTTTATGTTTAATAAGTCGATCAAATGTTCGTGTTTTAAACCCAACGCGTATTTCATCGATTTGATTTATATAATCTATAAGAAAGAAAATCGTGAAGAAAAATAGGATTTTTTCATTTTCATAAATAATATTTACAACGTATTGGCGATGGGAGTGTTCGATTTGTTTGACGATATGTTACAAATTGCTCACTTTTATGTAAGTAATAATGACGAAAACATTTTGTTCCATCATATTTTTGTTCGACTAATACACAACCGAGTTTTAATTCACGTAAAAGTTCATTCATTTGCTCTTGAGTTTTTGTTAACATGTTGTTCAATTGAAAATCTATTTAAGAAAATTTAGATGAATAAAAAACATTGAATATAATTGATGTGCAATGCATAATGCGTGCTCGAACAGAGTGATTCGTTCGATTCAATGATTCGCTCTATGTAGAGAAAGAGAAGAGAGAAAAAAAAACACAGATATGTTTATGGTTTTTATATAATGATGAAGCATGTAAAAATACAATCACATGTGGGAAGGTTTTTTTTTTATATGCGGTATATTACTACGAATAGATATATAATTTTATTTAAGACAAATGGTTGGAAGTGAAGATTCGCGCGGATTTTGTTAAAGTTAGTTATTGGACTAATTCAGATGTAGATATGAAAACAAGAATTCGATGAAATTTTGAAGACAATGAGTGATTATTCCATGTGATAAAGATTATTGGTATCGATTTGTATTTGATTTTAGCTATTGATGGTTATACTGTTTTGTACAACTAACAAAGAAGTGATACAATAAATTCAAAGACAATAGAATTCAAGAAGAAATGTTGCTTGAATATCATCTGTTAACATTGTTGAGAGATATGACATAAAAATAGCTGTTACAAACGCATCTATCATACTCCATTTACCCCCAATTACGAACAATGTACGAATGTATATGAAGTGATCGTTTTTTTCTGTTCGGAATGGAATAACAATAGAAAATATAGTCATTAGCGTTCTGGAAAGAGATTTTTTATGTTCAAAAGCTTTGCGTTTGATAAATTATTCTTATTTTATGTGAAAACGCAGTGATACGAGTAATTCTGGATTGTAATGATTGATAAATCTGATGTTTTAGATTAAAATCGTGGTTTTCAACAAATCTATCCGGATCAAGGTTCCGAATGGAAATCTGATACAAAATGTTTTTGTACACGTTGTTTAGTGTAACAAGATGTATGCACACACTTTGTTTCCGAAAGCAAAGTGTACAAATCAAGCGAGAATATTTTATCTAGACAAGTAAAGAAATGTTTAGTTTCAATTTTATCACAAACGTATCACAAATGTATGGTGTTGAATGAACAAATTCAATAAATTCACTATTTACCTTTTCATCTAACACAAGTAGAGAAATGTTTACAAAAAAATATACAATAAAATCTGATTAAAAAAACAAAAAGTCGAAGTTTAGTTTATCGATAAGAACGAAAACACCAACTTGTATTATAATCAAAAACTTCAATTTCATTTTCATGTTCTTCGTGATGCATATCTACATGATCATCGCAAAACCAAATGGAATCAACATTTATACTGTGTTTGATTCTGCAATAATTGCACAACCATCGAGAGCAGTTTTCATCGAAATCGACCCACTGGAATTGTTCGTTTTGATGACAACACTGTATAGCTTCACTTTGACTTGGATCTGTTGCGGAAACTTCTCGTTTACAACCATTAGCATCTGACAGATAGATAGAAAAACAACTATATGTATTGAGAAAAACGTTAACATACATTTTATAAATTTGGATTTTTTTTTTCTTTTTGTTTTTCATCATTTGCACTTCGAGATCTTCTAGAGGTCGTTTACAAACGGATCGTGCTTGTTTATTTGGTATATAATCATTAGAAATATCAATTAATAATTGCATTTGATGAAGACGACGATTTAGATCTCTATCATTCCAAGATTCAAAAGCTTTTGTAACAACTTGTTGACACCTAGCACTAAAAATAAAAATCAATAAATAATCATGATAATCTTTCAGTTTATCTTCTTAAGTCATCTCTTAACAACATACGCACTGTCATTAAGGAATCCAATGTGACAATTTTTAAACGTGACCTTCCAATTGTTTGAATACGATTTACAGCAGAAAACTAAAAGTACAAAAAAAGGTTATATGAGAAAAAGTTTAGTAGACGAAATAGTTTACGTACACCTCTCTCACATTCTACAGAATTTGTTGGTGAAATTAAAAAGATACTAAGTAATAATAAAATATTTCTATTTTGATCCAAAAAATGACTATTACTAGAGACTTTTAAGGCAATGAAATCTTTCCAAAATATTCAAACATTTTGACCCGGACCAAAATTATTTGTAAAATCATTTAATGATTGCTTCAAAGATTCCCATTCATTACGAACAAGATTTGAGTCGAAACCAGGAAATTTTTTATATTTTTGTCGAACAAAATCAAGCTCATTTCTACCATAATTAACATTGCCAATATATTTTTTATTCGCAATTAAGCATTGCGGGTCGAATAGTACAGATAAACCTTCTTGAAGTTTGGAACGAGCAAATTGGCGATCTAATTCATTAAGAAGACGATGAACATGATCAGAGCAGTTCTTAAAAAAACTATCACGATCACCAAGAATCAGTTGAAAACCACCGTATGATTGTGCAGCTGTTGATTGAACATAATCAAGTAATGCAAGAGTAACTGTTGATGTCGACAGATCTTTCCAATTTTCTAATATTTTTCTTTTTTCATCAACGTTTTGCATGAGAGTATAGTAAGTAAGTTTGTCATTCTGCATAATCTTGGTTAATGGACCTAAAACGCTTTCGACAATGCAATTCACAGTGAACTTTATTTTGAAAGAACAATATACCTACCAAGAACAGTTCCATGAAGATCATAATGAAAATGTAATGAAAACAAAAACTCATCGTTCAAGACAAGTTTTAATAAATCTTGGGCTGATTCACGTTCACCAAGAGACAAATTGTAATCAGTTGCTGTTTCTTGAAGATAAGCTAGTAGTGATTGACTACCTAAAAGAAAATAATTATGCAAGTATTTATATAACCACGCGATATTAAAATACTAGGTTGAATATTCAAAATAACCGGTTTGATACATCCTTGTATCGAAGACCACCTAATATCGAATATTTTTTTGAATTTGAGTTCAGGAATTTCTAAAAAATCTTGCCACTCTTTAATTTAAATTGACGAAAACTACTTCGACTAAAATAGTTGTATATTTTGCTCATTGTGTTTTCAAAATTGTAAATTGATTCATGGAGGACTGGTGATTCTTTTGCTAAAATAGTATGAAATGTTTATCTATCAAATTATTAACAAAAAACACTTGCCTCGGGTTTTGGTTGATAACATGCTTGACTACCCACTAGATTGAAGGTATGAGCAGCACAAGAATTAGATTCTAACCATTCACAATCAAAATGACGACGAAGCTTAGCTACAACACCTTCGTTTACACCTTGAAGTACAGAATATAAAAACATTTGATTATTATGATAAAACACTCACCAGTGAATGTACTCGCATTATCTGAAGCGAACCAGCAACTTTTGGACACATTTATATCATCTTTTCCCCATAAACAATTAAGTGATTCAACAATATTGTTAGTAGTTCCATTTCCTTCCAAATCGAGTAATCCATAGTATGCCGTCTTTTCTTCATAATTATCGATGTATCGTGCGAATACGATGCAACTTTTTTCAGTTGTCCTGGATGTCGTTTCATCTCACATCCATGCTACAGCAAATTAGTACAATAATTTATTAAATAAAATACTTGATCAAGTTTGACATACCAACAACTGGACTCGATTGTATTTTCTCAACGAGTTCTTCGTGTAAATAATTAGCTATATGATTCAAAAATTCAATTGCAGCGTCATTATTACGATAAGAAACACCTGATGTTTGAGCAGGTAGTAATTGCACCTCTAATTTTTCTAATAAATTACATAGTGATTCGATACACGCTAATGGGGAATCTATTTGAATCAAATAGATACAAGACAACATTAAATTTTGAACTGCTCGTTCATGCTTTTCAACTTCCTTTTGCTTTGTTACATGCCAATCTGGCTGTAGTCGAGAAGGTACTAATAATTCTTGTGCCTCTGCCTGCTTATGTACTTCACTGTTTTCTTTGTGTTGCTTGATTTTGTCAAGCGATAACGTCTTCATACCGGTAGTACACCAAACATTCTCTTTTCCTATTTAAAAAATAATTCTTTCAGAAAATTTCTTCAGAGAACACTAAAACTCTTGTAGTAGTTATAAAATGTATCTCAAAATGAAGAGCAAAAACAATTTTATTGACTACATTGACTTACCATTTGTGTTTTTTCGTTTCGTATACTTTTTACATAAAAAACACCACATGGCATCGTTTTCGAATGACAACCAGCATATTAAACGATTCACGTCTACCACCAAGATTATCATAAACATAACTTTTAAATTGTGCTTCAGGTGTTTGTTCCCATTTACGTAAATATTGTGTTCGATGGTTCGTTCTTGGTGATGTTGCTGATTGTGTTTGCTTTGCGGTGTCTTTGTAAATAAGAAAGATATAATCAGAGGTGCAGAATCTTCCATGAAATAAAAAATTCCCCCCCTCCACGAAATATTTTTCTGAAAATTTTCCTCAGCTGTTTTATCTTCATCGTTCACCAACCAACTTTATTTCAGACAAAACAGGAATAAAAAGCATGGCAATATTTTGTCCTGTTCGTTATTATTCGTACAACATAGGAATTCTTTGTACTTGTTGTTTTCTTAAGCGATTCGAAACAACCGAACCAGGTGAAACTAATTTGAATAGACGGTTATGATCTGTTTTTTTGAAGAAAACCCAGATTTTATCTTTCAACTGATAGAAGTAGTTGTCGAGGGAAGACTTGATGAATGGATCTGCTAGATGAAGCGGTGGTGCATTCCAATGTAACATTACTTCTTCGTCTAGGGATTCGTGATCCAGAACTCGATTGCTATGAATGTGTTGCTTCAGGATTGAAGCAGCACTTTCGTTTCTGATTTTGACAACCATCAGCGAATATAAATGTAGAAACTGCTCGATACCACTAGCCAGATCTCTGTTCGTAAGGAAAGATTTCATGACTTTTGTTGTTGAAATTCTATCGTCTTTTGTCCAAACGTTCCAATTTTCTTTGTCTTTCAATTCTGTCAAACATCGTTTCTTCCACTTCAGATACTGATCATGTAGTAAAATACTGTCGATCTTGATATATTTTGAACTGTTCTTCGTAAAATCAAGTAGACTTTGAAACGATGACTGCCCATATTGAAGCACATCCCCTCTTTTGGCTAAAATAACTTCTTGATACAGTGCCGCAACGTCAAGACATTTTGCCATTGTTTCGAATATAGCAGGAGCTTCTTCGAATCGAGTATCGATCGAAGTACGCAATGCTTGGCAAAAATCAACTAATTTCTCTCTAAAGTAGAGTGTGGGATCATCCAAATCGTGTTCAACAGCTTTGCGCGTGACTGGCCTTCCTTGGAATTCTCCACGAAGTAGATCATTGTAGTGCAAAGATAAGTGTGTAGATGTTAGCGTCACTTCGTCAAATGCCTCATTTTCTCTTTCAGGAGATTCTCCTCCTTCTTCATCATCATCCAAAGGAGCCTTTTGGGTGGCAAAGGGAACCTCATCCACATCTAGTTAAGAATAAGAAAAAGATTAAAAGAAAAGCGAGAGGTTCATAAATAAATTACCTTCCATTTCCTGTGTGTTGTTCAAAGTGTTGGATAATTTCTCTACTTCTGCTGCGTATGCAGATAGAGATTTCTTCAACTTTTCTAATGCATACGAATACTCCCATGGAAAAGTGTTAACCATTTGAATGGACATAGATGATTTAACGATCAAAGAGTAAACATCGTTAAGACCTAGGAGTTTTCCAACAAAATCGATCGAGGAAATATCATCAAGCTGGGAAAAGAAGATACATAAGTATTGAATTAAAATCTTTGCTTTGAAACTCACTTTTAAAGTATTTTCACTGCCGGTTCCTTCATGTAAAACAGTATAAGCACGCCTGGTTCTTGTACTAACATCACCATGCGACAAGGCATTCAGCTGATCCTCTTCTTCCTGCACTTCGTGCAGAGATCTCCAGTCTCGCAAGATTGTTTCATATACTCGTCTTTCGGAACTAACGAAACGTGTCGTGTGGAATTGTTTTGAAGCTAATATATCTTCGTCAAGATATTGCGCAGTTTCGAGCAGTATTTCATACTGCTTCCCATATGAGTATTTTCTCATCAGTGCTGCACACAGCTTGATGAAGTTGTTTATCCAAACGAACTTGCGTTGGCGTTTGACATCATTGATAGCAAGCTCCAACAAGTGTGCGCAGTCCCACGATACAGTCAACCACTCCGAATTCATTTCAAGGGCAGATGATAAATGTTTGTCAATGTTAAGGTGTATGTATGCGCCATCCACAGCACAACCAGAGAGCTGCTGCTGCAACATCTTTTTAGTTAAACCAAACGAGTTCATTACATGAATGCAACTGTAGTCGGAAAAACGAGATAAGAAAAAGAAGATTAGGCAATGAGATATTTCCACCGAACTCACTTATCGACTAGTTCTTTACCACTTAGTTCTGTTTTGCAAAGTGGTGATTGTAAATATATTGGCGTTAAAACACCATCAACGAATGTGATAAGTAGCGTTGTTTGAATAGATCGTTTCAATAGGGTTACTTTATCGAAAGTAACGCCAAATGGAACAGAATGTTGAAGAACTGGATCCACACGAACCAAGTATTCTGTAATCTTTAGTTTCATTTCCTCTGCCATAACACTTCGTAGCCTATCATAGATATATCGACTATGTCTAAACAATATGATAAACCTGAAGGGCGCTGAGACACAAATTCATAGAAGAAGCTTTACCTGTAATTCCCAACGGTACCACCACATAAATCAATCAAGTTAACACTTTCAACAAACTTTAAACCACCTAGTCCAGTACGAATACAGAATAATGCGATTCTTCCAATATTGTATCCAGCTTTCTCATTCTTTCTCATTACATCATCGGCTTCTTCTTTTTCCTTCTGCTCTTTTCTTGCACACCATATATGTAAGCTATTCGAGAGATGAAATCTTATACTTTTCTTTAAGTCACGAAATTTTTGAGTTTGATTGTAGCCTCCATCTTGCTCAATAAATCTGAATACACCGAAGGAAGATTTTATTGTTGACTGAAGTTGTTTTGGTGCATGTGTTTTGTGTTTCGAACAAGATAAACAGGTCATAAGTTCCATCTGCGAGTTGATTTCAAAATTTTTCAGTTTGTACAGATCGTCTGAACTTTTGATTTCATTTAACATAACATCTAACTCTTCTCCTTCGTTAGCTTCTTTAATAGTTGAAATCGAGCTTTTTGTGCCGAATAAACTGTCAAACTTAGTGCTCAAGTTCAAAATCTGTTCGCTCATGTAAAATAGCTGCTGTTGAACCTGGTGCTCGTTCGATGCTGAGAAGGGGGAGGGTACGATGGACGTTGTGACAGGTGAGGTGAACGAAGAAGTTGTTGTTTCAGGTGAGGTAAGTGAAGAAACTGTTGTCACCTGTGTTTGATCTAAAGTAGGTGAATCCTCGATCGCATCATTGACGTTCGTTCGCTTCTCGATCTGCTCTGTAGCAAGTGGTACTGATTGTTGTTTTCAGAAAGTAGATAGAGCATTTGAAGCAGCTCCGCGTCGAACTTTAAAACCGGGGTGATATGTATTACAATGAGAAGCCAGCTTGTCTTTTCGACCCGTCCATTCGCAGTATAAACAATTAACGGTTTCTTTACTAGGAAACATCTCAATCAACCTGAAAACCAGCAACCGTTGTAACAATAAATATAAGAATGAAAGTAACTTGAAATAGGAGTATTAACTGTCCATCACGTACGAAAAAACAGTAAAAAAATGTTAGTCTTTTTTTCTTCCTTATCACTTTTGTGTGCTTAAACTGGAGTCTGGTTTTATTCAATGGATCTAATGATGCAGTAGAGAACAAAATTAGAGACGTAAAAGCAGAAAGAGAAACGAGTAGTAACTAGAATAACGGAGTTATGTATGTGTGCGTGTATATTTAGATGGACGTACATAGGAGAAGAGGACCAAGAGTCAAAGAATTGAATGTGTATATTTTTAGTAAGATGAAGAATAAAGTAAACAAGTAAAACGACATACTCAAAAGAATGATTTATATCATATAATCAGCTATGAGAAGAAAACGATTTCGTCTTCTAGTACTTTTCCAAAATTTCCTCAATGGTAATATTCAAAACTTCTTCCAGAGTGACAGTTTTCAAAAATTCCCCCCCCCCCCCGCGCGGGGGCGCATGAGGAAGATTCTGCACCTCTGAAATAACGATTCGATAGCTGTAAATGAATAAAATCAAATCGAATAAAATTGATAAGGACGAAAGAAGGATGAGAAGAGAAGTATTATATTCATCCACGCTCTCATCATTTTGGTTAATTTCATTTGTTTCTAATACAAATAATACAAAGTAGATGTGTACAGCTCACCTTCTCGGTCATGAGCGTGAACGCTTACTTTTATTGATATAAAAATGGAGCATCGTATTTGAGTACGAATTTCTACAGTTTATGATAACATATTTTGGATAGCTTATATAGAATCTAGTTTTGATGACCATATTTTTCTTAGTAGTTGTTAGAGAAAAGTCTCTGAAAATGATTAACTTGGAATACCCAGCTCTCACACATGTTTTATCCAACATCAAACAAACGATGATAACAACGAAATATGTAAGTTACAAAGATATTAAAGCAATATCAAATGTCACATCCGTCTGCATCATTGAGAATGAGGCTACTGCCGGTGTACCCAGTCATCTCTACCCATACTTACACCTTCACCCTCAAAGAAGTAGACCTTTTTCCTTCTGTCACTGAAAAAGCACTTTTCAGTCATCGTTTTTTCTTCTTCTACTAAGGATTCCGTCAAAGAGTAATACTAATTTCTCTTGTTATTTTTTAATGTAGAGAGGATGGCAGATGCATTAGATATACACGCCAACGCCTATTTTTTCTGATAACAGAATATTTATATATATATCCCTTTCATTCACAGCATAAACGTTATTACAATTATTTTCTAAGAGAATCACTTTAAACTTCACTCCAATCTTCTCTCGCGTAGTCCAAACAACGATGATATTCCTTCACCGATCCTATCTTATGATGATTTTTGTCCTCATCCTTACTGTGTGTTTCATTATGCCTGCCGTGATGGGTGAGTAGTCTGCTGGACTAATTTGTCTGTACATCATAAAAATGACGCATATGTATTTTAGGAAAACCTTGTGGATGCCAGTGTATGCAGTGCCGATCCCCTGAACAGTGTTTGGAGATTGCAGATCATCTACCTGCGCTATGTATCGACCCTGGTGTCCATTGGTCTAACATTTAAATAAGGCCATCGCTAATCATTCAATAAATTACTCTACTGCCATTTCTTGTTGACTTTTTTATGTAAAGGCAATAGATCTTGAGAGGGTGAGGGTATGAGTGTAGGTTAAGAGCATAGACTCTTGTACAACCACACCCTCAAACACTTTGAAAGACAACTTAGGCACTGCGATTGCTACCAGCTCTCAACTGAACCATGCCACTATGGCACACACTAGAGTGAATAGAAGACAGAGATTGTTCTTTTTCAGAAACCGAACCGATTAGTCATTTGTCAGTCAGTAATTCTCGAGAAGTAACTGTGTTGACTGAAAACCCCATCCCTCAATGGCTAGTCGCTCGTCAACCTCCCTCCGGTCGGCCACTCATGACCAGCCATTCACCTTTTCATCTGTTGTTCTATTTTCACATTACTCGCATGAAAATTCTACACACTAGCCTGTCTCTTTTAGCAAAAAATTGACTCTTTTCTCTGCTTTCAACAAAATGATGCCTTCTCCAATATTTTCATTGAGGAATATACATTTGCCAAATCCTTTTAAAAAATCGTTGAAGCCTGATAAGGCTATTCCAAGTGAACACTTTAAGATTAATCTGAAATTTAAACGCGAAGTCGTTCGTCGGTTGCCACATATACGATTAGTTTCCCATTTTCACACCGAACAGTTGACCCGCTCTTAATTGATCGGTTTGTCATGCGAGATATTGAAACTTTACATAACAAGTAACGCGGCCTAGTAGCCGCTAAACCCTCTACTGAAAGGATAGTATTAGAGCGCTACTATTCGTCCAAAGAGAGAAAAAGGTTATTTCGGTTGAACGATCTGATCTTTTGATAATTTGTCAGAATGTTTTACCTAGACCAATTTTGCTTCCTGAAATCTTCTGAAATTATAACGCCTAGTCGTTTGTCGGCCTCTCTCCGGTCGACCACTCACCGCTAGCCATCGGTACCTAATAAGTGTTTAATGATATTTTCATATTAAAAAGTTCCTCGTTCTTGTTGAGTCCGTCTCTAGCAAAGTTGCTGAAATTCTTCACAACTTCGTGACCTACAGTATATCTTTTATTATCATTTTTAGTTGAATGAGTTAGTGATCTACATAGTTTATTCTCGAAGCTCGAAAAGATGTCATATATATGTATCTTAGAAAAATTATGGACACTTTGCGAGAGTCTTATAAATCTCACTTTTCCACCAATTTTCAAAAGAAACAACTAGTCGTTCGTCGGCCTCCCTCCGGTCAGCCACTCGCGGCTAGCCGTTACATGAACATTTTCACTAATCCACTTAGTCTAGAGTCACTTTTGAAACTAATCCATTCGTTCTCTTCTATTCCCTCTTTAAAAGTCACCCTCTTTGTGCTACTATGACCCTCGAAGACAACACTTGACAAGCGAAACATTATTTTGAATGACTGGCATCAGATGATATTCGTATAGTATAGCTGTTTATAAACGGGTGTGATCTCATTAAAATGCTGATGACTATGGAGATCCAGCGATCGGACGTCAGTCAGCTATTACATTTTGTTCTACATATTACCGCTTAAAACATTATCGTCTGAAAAATTGATTCTTTGTCGTAAAAAACGGGTCAGAAAGTATTCATTAAAAAACTAACACCGAATTCGAGATCCTCGACCTCGATTACCCTACCGGTAATCATTTTCTAACAATGATCGATCAATTTTATTGATTTTAGAAATGCTGATTTCTATTTGGATAGGACAAACAGACAAACTTTAAGCTTTTTAGCACAGCATTTAAACGCTGTATAACCCTTCCTTTCAGAAAAGGGAATAATTTCTAAAGGGTGTTTCGTAAGTAACAATCCCGTTTGTGTTTTTGCCTTATCTTCAATATACTCAAAGATATCATCCAGGAAGGATCGCAACCAATTTATATTAGTCTTTGGAAAACAATGCGACGGTCAATTTTTCGAGGAAAAAAACTGATTAATTTTCAATTTTTATATCCTGAGTTATAAATTTATTTAAAAAGTAAAAAACGGCATGTGCATCTAGTTTAGCGATTAATACCCATAGTAGTGATAAGAAAAATGAATAATTCTTTTTTCGAATCATTCTACCTTCGAGATACTGAGTATCATTTCGGTGCACAAGTTAATATCGAAATTCTTTGACATGAAAGAAATTAATGTTCATTTTTTTCGTATATGTAGTGATGCACCACTTCTAGCTCATAGATTTATTTATACTTGAAAAATAACTTTGATACCAGCAGTAGATGATTACGCACTCTCATCTTCGATTTACTTTGTATACCGGCAGAAACGCGTGTAATTGAAGTCGTTCGTCATACAAAATACGATGAAGGTATTATGGTTTGTGGAAAGAGGCTTTTAGCATAATTATTGTACTGCGAATCCGGCAGTCGATTTTGACGATGCATTAAGTTGACTCAAAGTTAAATTATCTTTTTTATATGATTTAACTCTGTTTTAACTTTTCTATCAATGTTTTCATTTGTCTGATCTTCAAAATAGAGAAGGAAAGAGAGAGCTACGAAAACAGAGTATATGTTGAAAATTTTAGTGCATTCATGCTAGATCTGTTGGCGTGCACATAAACTTAGCCATGATATAAGCAATGCATTCGAAATTCACTTGACTATTTACGATTTTCTTTACTTGATCATCTCCTTGATGTTTGTCTCTATGTTCATTGAGTATTTGAAGAAAGTAATATGTACGTATTCATCGCTTTCTAATAGTATTTTGATCATACCCGTTTGTCGAATTAATTGTATCGTTTCTTTTCCATAATATCTACCTGATTAACAGTTTATTTGTGAATTATCACTGGATGTTCGATCATTCACATTCAATTCAACATGACGAAGTAAAGATTCTATGTGAGGACCATTTATATAGAGTTAGTGGCGTAGCCAGGTGGTAGCCAGGACAGGCTCAGCCTGTCCACCGAAGGTTTGAGCCTGCCCACCGGAAATTCGGATTGCTTCACCATATGCTTATATGATATTTCATACGACAAGGAAGTTTTCTTAAAATAACCTGAACGGAAAGACAAAGCAAGTTGCCACACACAAATTCTTCCAAAGATTTTTCCCTTACATCCACAGTCGCCCATACACAGAAAAAAAAATCAGCAGAATAAAAAACCCTTTAAAGGTTGATCAGAGTGCAACGAATAATATACCCTATATTACCATTGATCAAAGTGTGATAAACCGATTGATCTACCTATGAAAACACGGAGAAAAATCCGTTGATCAAGCTGAAATACTCCTTAACAAAACGTTTATTAAAACGTTGATAGGAGTGAACAACGATTTAAGGGTATGTTATCCGTTGCATTCTGATAAACGATTTTCAGGGGTACATGAACTTGGAAAACCAATTAACTGATAAACAAGTGTTGGTTTATCCGCGGGTATATAACGTTAAAATACCTTTGTATACTCGTTCATACTGGTTGTTCGGCCAATTGATCACTTCCATCAACTGATAATTGGTTCATCGGAGGGTTGTGCAGCAAGTTGCTTAGTTGCAGGAAATGATTATATATCTGAAGAAAAGACGATGACTTGTGGAGATGTAAGGTTTAAATACGAAAAAATATTATGATATATCTTACTTTCTCACGATCTATGTGCGGAATTTTGATTTTTGAAGCAGCTTTTTGAAGGTTGTAAAGTTAAAAGAAAGATTCGCTGGAGAGCAGCTGGTCGTTGAAGTATATGTAGAATTCTGAAAAGTGAAGAGGTTCGTAGTGTCACTCAGAGAAATGTACATCATCATGGTGGACTTTATTGTATACTAGCTGGATAAACGTCCCAAAAAGAATTGTATATCGGCCACGTGGTTTTTAGCTGTACTACACGAGAAAAATTATCTGTGAAATATTATTTACCTTAGAAATTCCATCGAAATAGAACTCTAGTATGTTGCGAAACGGCTGATTGTTCAAAGAATTGATCACTGATTGACTTGGAATGCCTAAGGATTAAAAAATCACACGATGAAAGTTAGTTTTGTTGGTTGGTAAGTGTACCTGTCTTTGTGGTTGAAGCATACCAGTAGCTGTATATAGTGAATCTAAATGTAGAGAGAAATTAAATGCATCTCTGAAACATCTTGAGGGTTGATTGAAATGTTTATGAGCGGAAATTAGGTTACTTGTTGTGAGAGATTGAATCTAATTTTGAATATATCATACAGCGATGATTTGTTTTTAACATAACTGACCGTTTATTTCTTACGCTATGTGAATCTAGACATGCCTTTCTCAAACAAAAATAGATTAGAAACATCGATGTGTTAGCTTCAATAGAATAACGTCATGATTTTAAAGTACAGTATATACAGAGCACCAGAAATCATTCCTGTCGATAAGGCTATTTACATCAGCATAAATAATTTGAAAAGAGAATCAACAAAAAGAAATAAAGTAGTATGTCATGTTGATGAACAAATACCATTGACGAAGAAGAGAAATTACCTGAATGATGAAAAAAGTTGAGCAAAACTTGAGCGAAAGTATACAAGTGAGGATGGAAGTGCTAACGAAGATCATAACTAAACGATAAAAAACAAAAAGAAAGAATATTAGGTACTTGTTACAAGGCATACTTCTGGTTTCGTTGGAATAATGTTTGAAAGGGCAAATGCTATTTGAAACATGTCTTCATTGTTAAACATGACATATTAATAGATCTGAACTTTTAATGTTCCATGAAAAATGATTAGACGTTTTCATGGAGATTGAATTAGTGTAAATAGTTGTTTGGGAAGTGATGTATATCGAATTAAGTTGATAGTTGAGATAACAGGAAAGAGAAATGGATATCTCAGTAAAGACATAAATGTAAGAAACTGTAATTTCAACTTAAATAATGAAAGAAAGAAGAGCGAAAAGTATTGTTTGAGTTTCTCAATTTTCAAAGAATGATCTTGTTTAAATAACATGGTTTAGTTTATCAAACGAAAAAAAGGAAGGATGTTGACGTCGAAGTTGTTTGTTCTATAGACTAGAGAAAAACCATCAAAATAACTGTTTGTTTGTTAAATTTCATCAATAGAAAATAGAACTTTATTTGAGACAATTTCGATGTGCATAATTAACCATGGTTTAGATCAAAGAAAAAGTGATCGATAAAGATAACTAGAAAATAACGAATAGTCAGATGTCACATCTGAATTGAAAATTCATATCAACGAAATAAATTAAAATCCTGGACAATTCGAATCGATCGGTAAGTTAAATAACAATTAAACTCTTCGTTTTCGTTTCGGACGCGAAGTACAATTCGAATTGGTAAGATCATGAAATGCAGTTGAGTTGGTAGAAGTAAGTTGATGATCATTTGTTTTCGTAGCAACCAAAGAATCTGAATTTTGATCATCTGGAGCTGACTTTCTCTTTTGCTTATTTCGTGGTTTAATCTTTTGTTGTGATTTGAATTTGCTCGATGATGTTGTTTCAATGCTGCTGGTGTTGTCTCTATATAAAAGAAGGTTGTAAATATTATGTCGTCGATCAATGTAGAAAATAGAACTTACTGGTTCGTGTCAAGACATAAATCTTCATTTGAATCATGATTTTCGTCTGTCAGTTTTGCTTGTGTTAATTGGCGCACCGCGAGAGAATCGACCTGAACCGAAGAAGCACACGGTGAATTGATTTTGATCTGTCTTGGAGAATGAGATGGAGATTGCGGCTGTGGTTGTGCTTGAGATGTAGATCGAGATTCAGTTGAAGGCATTGTGGAGTCATTTGACGAAGCATTCAACATTGGTTGGTGTTGCTTTTGTTGTTGACTATGGACTTCGATACTCTTTTCCTTCATCAAAATACGAACTGAGTTGGTTAAATATCTTGTTTCGCCATATAAAACCGAATAAAGAAGCCGAACTGCACGACTTTTCTTATCGAATGATAAACCGAAAATTGTATACATAGCGATGAGGAGTCCAACAGCATCATCGACTGAATCCGTTGAGACAATTGAAATGAAATCGACGTAAACATCCATCGTGTCATTAATATAGACCAATGTTGGATAAGGAGTCGATGGCTTCTATACAAATCGATATTTTTCATTTTTTCATAGAGAAAAATCATTGAAATAATAATACTGATAATAAAGTATCGAGACAAACAAATCATCGAAAAAATTGATTGGACAAAACCAACCTCCATTAGAATTGTTTCTACTTTGAATTTCATCTATCTGTGTTTTTCCTTTATAAACTGCCAAGGTATTGGTATTCATCAACTCGAATTAAACTTAAGTGTTCTTTATTTGAAATTTCCAATTTCAACACCTCACATTTGAACCTTAGAAATTGTAGAGAGAAATTTACCTCGTGACAAAATAAATGTTGGACAGGTTCACGAAATTCTTTGCACAATAATTTCATCAACCGAATTGCGGGTGATTCTAAAACCAAATAAATATTCATTTTCTGTGCTAATCTGAATATCTACCTGTAATGAATAACAATGATGAGGACATTTTGTTCAAAAGATCAGGTAGTTGTCGTCGTACTGCGGAAGGCAAATCAACGTTCATCAATAGCTTCACTTCTTCGAACACCTGTTGTGAAAAATATCCTGAGTAAATAAATGAATAAAAACACATTATTCTACCAGCAATGAATAAGAATAACCGGGAAAATCTTTCATAATGTCTTCAGTCGATCGATTGTTAATTGATTGACGACGAAAATAAAGCGTTTCCTTCCATAGTTTCAATTGACTAACAACATCGATTTGCGATATATGTCGTAGTTGATCTGCCTTTGTTTGGATATCATCAGACATTTCATCGTTATTTGGTAACAAGATCATCTAAAATGAAAAGATGGAGTAACGCGGCATATTCAGCTTTGACTTACTTGTGTATAACGATCCCTTTTTGCAATTTCATCAACTCTTTGTTTTACAGGACGTCCAAACCCTGTTCGGGAGTATTTCAGTCGATAATTCTGGATGACAATATTATCTAAATTTTCAGTCCGTTTACGTTTCAGTTTCGTTTGTAATGCATCTTTCCATATCGTCTATACAACAAGGAAACTGTCTTATTTATAGTTGATCGATGAACTCACAATGTTCTCTTTCGTTAGGGGTAATTTCAACAGCTTCACAACTGCTTGACCAATTTTATCGAATTGTACCGATGATGGATAACTAACCATGAAAAAAGGAATCATAAAATCGAGAATGAGCATCGATAATTTTCTTCTTTTCGAGAGAAATCACTGACAGCCAACTAATAGGGAGTACATGTCATCAATTACATAGCAGATGCGTTTTGATGCTACAGAATGAAGTAAATGATGAAATGAAAAGAATTTCTATAGATAAAGCACCGTTTCTAGATTTCTGATGGTTTTTCTTCGACAAAAAAACTACGAGCGAGCAGTACTTTCTGTGTCAGAAAATGAAAGGTGTATACATATCTTTCTCATCGCTATGATAATCAGCTTGTTATAAATTTCAACTAACAAGAGCTTGTATTTGTCGATTAAATCAAAATTGATTGTATCGATTAAGATCTGGCGGTTCGCACAATGCGGACCAAACTTCTGCAAAATTCCTTCTTCAATATCCTTAAGTAAGCCATTTGGTAACGACGGAATTTTGTATTCGTCAGGAAATACTGCATCAACATTTGTAGGATTATCACACTGGACAGACAGTATTGAATTGCGAATCGGTGATTTTGGTAGACAGTCAGGTGATGAACCAGTAACAACCATTGATAATGAACCATCACCTTCGGTTGAAATACTGCTATTTTGTTTAAATAATTTTTCTCGTTCCTCGAGAAAAAGTAATTGCAATTTAAACTTTGGTATGATCGTTGAAATCCTTTCGACGGTACTCATCATATTCAGCGTTGCGCCGTCAATATCGTACTCTAAGAGAAAAAAGAAATTATCGAGTATACATGATTTTTTCAAATAAACATGTTCTTCTCTTTGTCGAAAGTCAAACTGAAAAGTTCAGAAAAGTGAAATAACTATCTCTCTCTTATGTGATATGAATAAAAAAGATAGGCGAGCCCACGGTAGCATGAAAGAAATAATCATAACTATCTCAGTCGAATACGCAATGTTTCAAAACCAGTGTCTCCAAGAAAATGATATAGTACGATAGATAATAAAGCTTAAACACTTGTCAAAACTATTCTTATTGAAACATCTCTAATTGAACGATAAAAACAAGACGAGTCTTAACTTTCTTCACACACGAACTATTCACTTTGTTGATACAATCAAATGCTTCATAGCGAAATCGACAAGACAGATAAAAAGAAGACTTAATCGAACTGAAGAAGTGAAGGGATATGAAGTTAAAAATAAAAAATGAGTTCTGACACATTTTCTATTGTCTAATATTACTAATACGATGTGAGACGACCAGTTAATGTAACAAAGCTTGAATTGTTCACATAATAGATATCCAGCCCTTTGCAATAATACTTCAACTGGCACGGATCAATGATTAAATAACGTTCAACCGATTTTACATTCCAAGCAAATAAGTTGTCATAAAAATATACAGTGTTAAGTATGTCCATCAATAGCCACCATTTTTCATTCATTTTCAAAATAAATACTATCTGACCAAACAATGGCTGCTCATTGTCACTCTTCAATTGAACTACGTACACAGCTGCTCGACAGTACTCAATGTTTTCATTGATCAGTTTGCCACATTGAAAGAAGTCACTGTTAAAATTGATATTACCGAAGTGATCAAGTAAAGCGTTTCTCATTGACACATTAAATGATGTGTTATGAATCTTTTTCATCCCTACTGAATGATAACCATCTTGAAGTTTAGAGAAACGAATAAATTTCAAACATTGTTTCGGACGAAAATGAGTTGCAAGCATTTTAGGAGTATTTTTGAAATTGTTTGTTCTCACAGAAAGCTTCTTAAAGTAAGCGTGTTGTGCCTCGTATCTCAAACACCATTGACGTGTCGCTGGCCCATAGTCGTGAATAATTCGTTCGTATTCACGAACAAAGTGAACTTTAGGCGTGATTTTATCCGGAAAGTGTAATAACATATTTTTGTGAAATGCAAAGCACAAATCGCCAAGAACAGGCAACCAGCTTTTCCTAAATGGGTACGACAAAACAAGGTCTAAGATCTCGCGAAGAATTTTGTAAACGATGAACGACGGTAATTGATCAATTAAATCATGAAAAATCACGGGGAAAAGTTTAAAAAGGCATAACTTTTGGGAAGCAGTTGCGATGACACGATCATTTTGTAAGTGTTTAACTTGGATAGGCGGTGGTCGGTTGCTCGTGTCAAAGTAGCCGTACTAAAAACGGACCATGCGTTCTTCGATGCGAGCTTGAAAGATGAAAAAAAAACATATTCATGTGGTACAATACTCAAAATTCATCATTAAGCGAATATTAAGATGTACTTCATTGCGTTTCTTCTTGTGTGAGGGTATACTATTGATGAAAATTGAATCAATTTCAATAAGATACAAGCGGAAATGTTTAACATATTCTACTAAAAATCACTCAATTCTCCTCACCGTCGAAAAATTCTGTAGGAAATCATCGAGTTTTGATAAATTCATAATTCCCATAAACGAAAAAGGTACAGATATGTTACAAAGAGAGATACGCAACGTCTTGAACTTTTTTTGCAGCGCAGTAAAACTCGTATGTCTAGTGAAGCAGGTGATCTTTGTTGTTTCGACTTACAAAAGTTCAAAGAAAAGGGGAAATTGAGTTTCCATTGCGCATTATATTAAATTCACTCCAATCTATATTTCAATCAAGTCTGTATGGGTATTATAAGCACTTATGAGAAATTATTAAAATTGATTCAAATTTCACAATGCGATATCCAGTGAATATTTTCCCTTTCACTCAATTATTCGAAATAAAGAATCTTCTCCTACCATACGTTATGAGGCGCATTGCTGAGGCTTGCTTCAGGAGAGCCATTATCACCATTGGACATACTCCTTCCAGGAAATCGTGCATGCAGTCACCAGGCAATGACATAGTCGGATGAAAGCCAATAAGATCATTCAATGGACTTTCACCAACTACACCCATACGAGGAGATTTATGAGGATCATTCAAAATCTCTTTAACTAAGTCATCGTGATCAACAATCGTACGACTATTAATTTGTTCCAATGGGGCGGGTGAAATTCTATCTGGATAATTTGAATAACATCTCCGGCAAAAAAAACCATTGCTAAAAGTCGATTGGAAACCCCCTAGCCAATTTGCTGCCAAATTATCGGCGACAACAGTTGAAAATGTAAACTTGAATTGAACGCCATTCACCAAAAGCCCATGAAGCTGCAAGTGATTTAAATTTTGGAGGATAGGTTCAAAGAATCGTTTTGCCTTGATTTTGTCCTCAAAAAATGAAAATTCCAAGTGAAAGAAATTCAACATATCACAATATCGTTGTTTTCAATTGCATTGCTCAAGAACTTCTTTTCAGCATATGTATGTATGTACAAAACAACGATGCAATACCATTCCTCACAAATGTAAGCAAAATATGATCAATTCGAAGAGAAAGTTGAAATTCATTTCATTTTGTCTCAAATCGATAGAAAATCTCTCGTAAAAAAGCACTACTATTCGTCATCGTGGCTTTCCATTAGATCTATACCTTTAAAATTCTACTTTCACAAATGGCAACCAACTGAATAAAATCGAGTTTTGATCTATACTGTTCAGGAATATCTTCGATTGTAAAATAGATCATTGACATTTTGTGTTGGTCTCGTTTTGATCCTAAAGGATTTGTCAGTCCGATATCATCAAGATATAGTTGAAGCAGCAAATGATCGTCGTCTAATTTTAAACCATGGTAACCATCTCGGATTGAGAACATCAAATCACTATCAGACTCAGTTGCTAATTGTTGCTGGTGGATATTTTCAAGCACCTTGAGTGCTAATGATTGAGAATTCAGCATTGAAGATAACGTTTTGTCAATGGGTATAAAATATCCACAATCATTGACTTCATTAGGAGATGACACAACAATTTCGTCAACTGGAACAAAACCAAAGTATTCTATGCAATGTTTGACAAACTGATATTCATTTTTAGTTACGAACTCAACCGCATTACGAATGTCCTTTAAAAGAAGTATTAATTGATCAAATTGAATCGCTTTTTTATTCTGATGTTGGATAGATGCTGTTCCAAGTGGCGGACTATCCACAGGATAGTTAAATGCCAGTTTACCAGATAGAATTTCAATCTGATGCAGCAATGTACCAATATAAATTGAAATCATGTTCGTCACGTTTTTCGGCAACAGGAATTCCTCCCTTAATTGTAACATAAATAGAGTATATGATTTCTTAATATTTTTAATTGAGAAAATTGTTTCCTCGTCTTCGTCAATAAGATTAAATGATAATATATGATTGCCGAAATCATTCGATAATACCATTTCTGGATCATCATCACCATTCAATGAATCATTTTCGTTATCGAAGTTCGTACTGTCTCGTTGATCATCGGTCGAAAACGTATTGTTGTCGTATTTTTCTGTAGAATGTAATTCGGTCAAATGCTTTCGATACACATGCGATTTGTAAGCGGCGTAAGTGCGATAAAGAACACCACATGCTTTGTGCAAATCACATACCATGCGAAAATTTGGTTCACTTTGATGATAGAGTGTAATATGTCGAAACATTCTAGCGAAGCTTGCGAACTCTCGGTTCGTCACGCAAAGTGAGCATGTAAATGATGACATGAGACTATAATCCTTTTTGAAGCAATTCGAAATAAGAATGATTAGATTATTCGTGTGTAAAAAGAATCGCAATTCACTGTTTTTTTTCGATATTCAGTTTTACAATATTTATACGATAACGCAAACGAACGAAGAATCGATAACCTACATAAGCCAATAAACTGCAACCGCCACGAGCTATCCAAATACATATTATCATATAGATATGCCTGCTGGCTTATAGTGGAGAAACAAACGAACGATTAGACTACGAAAAGATAAATATCAGCGTGGCTATATTGCATTGAATATGAATTTCTAACGTATATAGCGAGAGATTAAACTGGAGTAAAAACATGCAATGAACTTCGACTAGTAACAAGATCACGTTTTTTTCTGATAAATAAAAACAGACTGACCTTCAATCCGAGATAAAATCGTGTCATCGTCGATAAAATTTCTGCACCAATTAACGACTTGTTCACAAGACCAGTCCATCATTTGTTGAATATAATTGTATCTAAAAATCTGAACATAAAACTTCTGTAACTATCGACAGAAAATATCATTGTTGGAATACAATAAAAAACAAATAGTTGTTTGTAAACAAAGTGTTTAAAAGCTCTCTTGTCTTCAACTGTGTATCGTCACTGTTTAATTCATCTAATAATAAAACAACTTAATAGATGGTGATAGTGGCTCAGAATGGTTCGAGCATTATAGATGATTCGTGAACAAAAACCTTCTCATTTATCTCACATCGTTCGCAGTCAGAAGAGCTTTCTATGCAAAGATAAAGATGCGTTCTCACATCACTCATATGCAGATAAATTGATAACTACGCTTCAATCATGTTTGAAGCATTGGCTGATAAACGATGAATATTGAATTCAAGATGTCAAACTCTCTTTAAGACATGCAAAATAATATATTATGATTAAAATAGACTAATAAATCTTCTCGAAGAAGGGCACTATAATTGAGCTGTATACGTAGCATAATGGATCCGTTCTGGAACACAATGAACAATCATAAACCGCTTCAGATGGATAGAAGTATGAGCCATCAGTCGTTCGTTGCTAAAATCGACGATTGACAGCGGATGCTATTTCTCGAGCGGTCCTAGTTCTAAGGGGATGGATCACGGATCTACAGATAAAGTACTCAACCCTTCTAAGTCTAAATGAAGAATGATCAACCGTTACAAGTAGAGTAATCAACCTTTCTATATCCAAACGAAGATTGCTCAACCCTTGCAAGCAGAGTAATCAACCTGTTTTTGTCTAAACGGAGAGTATTAAACCTGCTTACGTAGATTACTAAACCCTTTTATACTAAATTGTGGAAGAAGCAACATTTGTGTGTCGAACAAGAAACCTTAGCCAATGAATACAAAATGTACGACTAATTGTGAGACCATAGAAGATGTGTTGTAGCACTGAGAAAATATACACATAGAATTTGAGCAAGAAAATAATAAACCCTTGAAAAGATGGGGTATAAAACGAAACATTCTCCGTATAATAATAAACGTTTTTATTGAAAAGTAGCTGACTGAACCCTTCCACGTAGTAGACTAAACCTTTCCCTAGAAAGCATAGGATATTCTACCCATGAACGTAGATTAATGGTTTAATTATCGAAAAGGGATTATGCTATTTGGATAAAAATAGATTAATATACGTATCCACTTGCAAAGTAGTATAATCAACGTAATAACGAATAATGGAATACCCTTTTCTTATACACATACGGTGATGTACCCATATGGGTTACACAAGATACTCTTATCTTCATAAGCTACCCACACATGATAGTTATATACCATTTGAGATTCGATAAACCTATAGGTTGCGAAACGCTTCGGGTGTTCAACGCTAAAAGGATTAATCACTTTTGCATCTACGCTTACAAAGTTTATTAGCACAATTCTTAAGTGCAAGAGTAGATTATTATGCTGATTTTTTTTTCTGTGCACCCTTTTGGGATGAACAATGAAAAATAGGGAAACTTTTTTTCTTCTTCGAGAATGGGGATGCTGTGAAACTACGTATCCTTCGAATAATAATAAAACAAAATATTTATGTATAGTAGTTTCTTAAATATATAGATTATGGGTTTATATATTGATCTATCGTATAATCTAAACGTTAATCGAGTGTCGGGCATGTTAAAAGGATGTCAGTGTCTTGCACCGGTCTGTTGTAGAAAATAGTTTTGCACATGTTGCATGGCACGTATATCTCATTTAGGCGCTTTAAATACAGCTCAAGAAACTCTGTTTCACCAGCCCACCCAGGAAATGGCCAATACATATGTTGGCCATTACGCCACATTTTATCGAAAATTGTTGTGCTCCATCCCAGTGCATTGTAATCCACGGGAAACGTTCTGTTGGATAATCCAGCGCGCATTTCTTTTATCATATGATTTTTATCGGTGATCGCATACTCAATACCGTCCGGACCCAGTCCAACGACCGGAATTAATGAAACTTTTTTAATATTATAAAAGAAATTGAATGCGTCTGGTAGCGTGTAGCAGTCATCATCTATTGGATGGATCGATGCCGTGAACCGAAAGTCATGGGTTAAATTAACGATGTACTCTAAAACGGCATTTTTCTGAGCACTTCCGTGTCGTTTAGTAGGTCCATATGCAAAATAAACGTAAGGTATCCTTGAACAATCCAATAAATCTATCATTTTTTTGTCGATATACTTGTCATCCTCACACAATATCCATATAAATTGTCGACAAGTTTTGGTTCGTCCGCCAGATCTATCACAGAGAATCTGGTTGTCGATTTGGTGATGGCGAATAGCGGCAGCCAATCGGCGCAATAGATTCAATCGTCCGAGGCGATAATATGTAATTGTTGTAATGAACAGAGTAGGTTTTCGTTTGTCAATTCCTTTTGAAAGCGCTCCGTATCGAAAAGTCGAATTTAACACAGAGTTCAAAAGATCATATCCAAGTTCGGGTTTGATTGTTATTGGATTAGACCACATATTACTCAGGGTTTGAATTGACCACTGTAAAAGGACCTCTTCAGAAATGGTGTCATGGTGAACTGAAGTTGGTTTGAAGAATAGCGGAAAACGTATTCTAAGTTGTTTAATCTAAATTTAGAGCAGTGATAATAGGATACCGTCAAAACCAATAAAACACCACATCGATCCATCTTCTCCGTATAATCCTTTGATACTCTAGAGACTCAATACAGTGTGTAAGACATCTGCAGCTCCGACAGTTTTCAAGGAACTGAAAAGTGTACACAGTGAAACCTCGTATAGTGAACGCTGCCGTATAGTGAACATTTTAGGGCCCGACAGAATATTTTTTTCTGTATTTGAACCTCTGCCAAATGGATACTCTCTATAGTGGACAGTTTTGAAAGTCCGAAATGATATTCTTTACTAGAAATGAACCTATCAATCGTAGACACTGTTATGTAAATTAATGCGATGAGAATTTTTTATAAGTTTAATAGTGTTCATAAGTGAGAACTGACTATTTTTAAATAAACTATTTACGTCTTACGTCTCTGTCATGGACTTCGTCCATGATTCTTCTTCTCTTATGCATACTTACTCCTCTTTCATTCCATTCTCTCCTCTTTACTCCTCTTTCATTCCATCTCTCTCCTCTTCACTCCTCGTTCATTCCATATTCTCTCCTCTTCCACCCTCACATATATTATATACGTATATATACGTGAGGTTGGATAGGAGGAAGTGTGTGTTACATCTACAATAAAAGTATATACATCACAGTCTCGCAAACGAAAATTGATATAAAGAGAGGTAAAGATAAACGGCAGTGTTCTAGTGTATGCATTGAACATCTTATAATATCCACAAAACAGTGAGATTTTGCAGGATTTCACAGTTTTCAACGAATTCTAAACCATTTACGGGTTTGATAGAAAAACTACGAAACCTTAAAAAAGAAATCCCACTTCATGACAACCCCAACGAAAGCATCTTAGGTTTATGGTAAATTTTCAACAGGGTTTCAGCTCCAATGTAAAAATAGTTTCGTACAAGGCCATCTGTGTTTTCAGTGTAGAGGGGGTTCACTGTATACTTCTCTTCAGTTGTACGCAAGTGCACGAGCTTTCCGGTGAACGACGCGGTCATTACGAACAGGGGTCAGCTCAATTATTTTTGCCAAAAGAACCTTCTGAGATTATTACAGATCAACAGATTTCGAGATGGAGGACACTCTAAAGCGCGTGCGTTTGTTCCTTGCTTGTATTTTTAGTGGGAAGCATGCTCCTCTTTTGTATACAGTTTGATTTAAATTCTGAAGATTTCCACAGTTAATACTTGACTGTCACAAAGAGATGACAGCAATCTTTTATAAAAAAAAGCTCGAATATTCTAGAATGATTAAGATTCTTGAAGCTTTACTGTAATGCAGCTGGAAAATACAGATGGTTTTTCGAAATTTTTCCTATTCCCATGATTTAGGACGGAACCTTTTGACACTATCTGGAGAAAACGAAAATATCTGCGTCTAAGTTTTTTACCTGAGCTATATGCCGGATAGATCTTGAAACTTTAACAAGCATATTCTAGGCTACGAGGTTAGCTAGTTTAGATATACATGTATCCAACCTAACTACTATTTACACTCTACGTTCTATTTCTGACAGTATTTAATTGATTTCTAAAGAAAATGTTGATTAGATGTTTAAAAATAATAACATATTTACAATCAGCACAAAGAACTGGGTGAACTAGACTACTACGAGCAGCATATGTTTGCCATTCATTTTATTTTAAAAAAATAAACGCCTGGTACT